TGTTGTGGGGATGCATTAGTGACATAAAGGTTTAGCAGTGCAACAGGAGCACAAATCGACACAATACCCAGCTGTTCTCAAATGTACACCTTCACACAGTCCCTAGTCTAGAAAAGTATGTAAAATTTTGAACACCTTGAAGGCACCCACAGAGTAGAGCAACATCTTTTTTGTCAGGCAATGTATTTGCCACAGATTATGGGGAAAGAGCTTCAAGTGTACAAGCAACCAGAGCTTTGAAAGAAAATTAGAGAAGTCTTATAGTCCCTCTCGAGACTGAGAGAAAGAAATGCCTTTATAAGATGCATCTGAGGCCACAAAAGCATTTGTAATAAATTCCCCTTTCCCAGGACCCTTCCACACAGCCCTATATCCCAGAATATCAAGGCAGAAAATCTCACAATATCTGCCTTGAATTGGGATATCTGAGCCCACACTCAGATAATGTTGGATTTTCAGCCTTGATATTCTGGGACATAGGGCTGTGTGGAAGGGCCCCCAGTTAGTCTCAAAAGTGATGCAGAGTCCCATCATACCCCTTTATGCTCGAGCAAACTGACATGGTTATGTCTTGAAAGCTTGTAAAGTACAAATATGTAATTTGTAACAGAGTATACCCAAGCAATTTGTGACTGTTAGAATTTTTTTAAAAAAAACATTGTGATATAATATTAATATAATTTATTATTTATTTGTTGTGATAATGCCACATATGGCTATGTCAGTGGTTCTCAACCTGTGGGTCCCCAGAAGTTTTGGCGAGTTTACCAGCTGTTAGGATTTCTGGGAGTTGTAGGTCAGAACACCTGGGGACCCACAGGTTGAGAACCACTGGTCTACGCCTTACACCACTGGAGAAATTATACTGTTTAGCCAGTATTGTACCACCTGACATCCATTGAGAATTATCAGCCTGTAATGAAAGGACCAAGGCATTGATATCTCAGGACCATCCTCTATTCGGATATCAGCCAGCATGCCAATGTCTTTAATCAAGAAATAGCTTCCTAAGATCTACAGAAATATCACAGGAACACATCAGCAAGTAAGAGTCCAAAAGTGGCAGGTTAAAATCTGGAACCTAAATCAGTGGATAATACTGAATGTGAAACTCCCTCCTGGGCACCCAGAAGACTGGGCGACTTGGAAGGCACTGAACAGACTGCACTCTGGCACCATGAGATGCATAACCAATCTTAAGAAATGGGGCTACAAAGACCACTTCTGTCCCTGTGATAACTGGATGCAATCTGAGCCTTGCTACATGCACAATGGTGGTTGTCCTTACAGCCATACCAGACGCACTCCAAGTAGCCAGCTTCTGGTCAAAGGGTTATAATGCTCATACCTGTTCTGGTCAAAGGTATAATGCTCATACCTGTTCACCCTCCAAAGTAACACCTCTGCTCCCTATATCTGTAATGTTCATTTAACACGTTATTTCAGAGCTCTGCATGCTGCCACACATTAAACTTTTACAAGTTAAAAAGCCAATCTCATATATCAAGGAAGTTGAGTGTTCTTTATTCTCCTGATTTGGGGACGAACCCCCCATACTAACATCTGCCTCTCTGTGAAGCAAGGAAGCCGACATCTCTTTTCTTCCCATGCATACTGCAGCAATAAAAGAGCGGTAAGAAAAAAAAAAGAACGGTCCAAAAATAATATTTGAAAACACTGGAAAAATCTTCAAAGTACCCCAAGGAACTGTCAGAGGCAATGATTTCAGAGCAGGCTTCTGAGCAGACCCTCTCCGCCAGGGGCAAGACACTGGAATTTAACACAGGCTGGAGTCAGATGGGCTAAAAGGAGCCAAAAAAAAAAAAACCCTTGGCCGCTGCTGCAACAACAGCAGCAGATGACCAGTTTTTGGCAGGGGAATAAACAAACCAACATATCCAAGAGAGACAAGAGGTCATGGGCAACTTGGAAACACTGAATGAGGGTATAGGCAATCTCCAAGTTATGAACAAGATAGGTTCTGTAGGTTTGTTCTTAAGTTGAATTTGTTTGAAAGTCTGAACAGGTACATTTTTAAGTGCAACTCCAAATAAATAAATAAATCTTTTAGTATTGTTGAAGGCTTTCATTGCCAGAATTGTAGGCTTTTCGGGCTGTATGGCCATGTTCTAGAAGCATTCTCTCCTGACGTTTTGCCTGCATCTATGGCAGGCATCCTCAAAGGTTGTGAGGTCCTCTGAGGATGCCTGCCGTGGATGCAGGTGAAACGTCAGTAGAGAATGCTTCTAGAACATGGCCATATAGTCTGAAAAACCTACAACAGCCTATATCTTTTAGCTTTGGACAGCATGGGGAAGGGTTTACACCCTTGGTGTTTGTTTTGCTGTCTGTACCTGTTCAGAAGATTTCACCTCACTTTCTGAACCCTGTGATAACTGGATTGTGGAAAACTTGGCTTGTTGTGGAAACAAGGATTGGTGATACAGCTTCAGTGGAGTCACACCCTTTTCTCATGATGACTCTTCCAGGAATGAATTTCCCTTCCTAAGGGTAGATTTCTCTCACTTCCTGTTGTCTCATCCTCGTTCATAACTATGAGTCGTTTGTAAGTCAGATGATTGTAACTCGGGAACTGCCTGTATTTTTTTTGAAACCATATTTGTCTGCCTAAGACAGGGAGCTGGGCTTTTTAAATAATGGTACTGCTTTTGTGGGGTAAAGCCATTGAAAGTTGATCACCTCATTACTTCATTTTAGGAGTTGAATTATTTTTTATTAAACCAGAATGTTAAGGTTGGGCTTATCAATTACAAGAATCAGAACATCTTCACTAAAAACGCAATCATGAAAAATCATGGTTACTGGATGTCTGAACAGTAGATATGAGCACCTAGATACAAATATTTCTGAGACCTTTAATCCATCTACAATTTGAATTTTCTATCACAGTTTCACATGGGACACAGCTGCAGGGACAAGGAAACATAAACAACTGCCTTACCCACCACAAAGCTTTGTGTCTGTTTTGAGTTCTTAAAATAAAAGTAAATTGAATGGTTTAATCACCAAGATTTGAACATGCGACGCTTAGCCTCTCCTGTGTCCTGCACAATCTGGTGGTGATTCTCAATCACTGGAATGGTCTCCTGACAAACGTTGAGCTAGGGTCAATTTCACTGTCTTTCAGGTATCAGGTACATCTGCACTGCAGAATAGATGTGGTTTGACAACACTTTCACTGCCATGGCTCAATGCTATGGAATCACGGGAGTTGTAGTTTTACAAGAACTTTAGCTTTCTCTCCCAAAGCATAAGGGATCCTGACCATACTACAAATCCCAAGATTGCATAGTTTTGGGCCAAGGGAGTGATGTCAAATTGCATTACTTCTACAGTGTAGAACACCTACAGGTCTTTTTATGTTGTTTTTAATCTGGTGGAAAATTGAGGTGGATGATTCTTTGGACATTTTATGTCCTGTGCCATTTTAATGCATTTGGTTCGGGCCCAATATTCATATCCGTACTCAAAAGAAAGCTGAGTTGGGGTTGTTTTTTGTTTTTTGGCCAAAACGTCTTTTTCCTGCAGACACTGAAAATCTGCTCTGGAGAGTTGATGAACTTTCAAGAACAGAGTGGAAGCTGGGAAAACAAAATTAGCAAAACAAAACAAAGCAATCTATTCCTTTCTACTAAAAAAAAGCTTCTAATGGGCTGAAGCCAGCCTTAACAGAAAGCAAACTTCTTTGTTAGAGCCGCCGCAAACTAGCATCTTGCGAGAGCAAACTGTGCCAGCACGTCCGCTGTTGAATTCTGTCAACAGCGAGAGTATGCTCGCATCGCTGCCCTAGCAAAGGGAAAACCACGCGGGCGCAGAGAAAGAGGCGGAGAGAGAGGCGGAGTCTTCGACATCATCGGACGTGCTGGCACAGTTTGCTCTCGCAAGATGCTAGTTTGTGGTGGCTCTTATACTGATAAGGATACATACCAATGAAGGGTAATCCAGAGATAGAGAATGAAATAACATTCTCAAGGTACAATCAAATAGCATGCTTATTTACTTCTAAGAATAAATTTAAATAAATTTAAATTTAATTTAAATAAGGTGTGGTGTAGTGGCTTGAATATTGAACTTCAGCTCTGGAAACCAGGATTTTGATTCTCATTTGTTGTTTTATATGTCTATATGTTTTATTCAATAGTATTTTATACTGTGCTTTATTTTATGTTGTTTTAGGCACTTTGTGCCTTGTGTAAGCCACCCCAAGTCCCTTCAAGGAGTTGGTGGTGGGATATAAGAAAAATGTTGTTGTTGTTGTTATGATATGTAAGGCAAGACACGCTCTCTCAGTCTCAGAGGAAGGCAGTGGCAAATCCCTTCTCATTAAATCTTACCAAAATCCCGTGATATGGTCACCTTACAATGACAATAGATCAAAAATGATTTGAACACATGCCACAACAAATATTTATAACCTGCTGAAAATTAAGGTAGTTAACATATAATAAGATATCTTCAGATTAAAAAACCCTTCCATTTTCAAGAACGACTGGGAACCCTTCAAAAATTTCTCAGGAAAAAAAGAAAATTCCAACATGTCTTGTATAAAATGTTAATCTATTACATTACATTATATTAATCTATTACAAAGAACTAGATAATATGGAAACAACAAAAATTATTAGAAATATGGAAGAATTATGTAAAAATTTGACAATATATTTCAATTAAAAAATAACTTGAATACACACAACAAACATTCATAACCTGCCGTAAATTAAGGTAATTAACGTAATGGATTAACAAAAAAGACAGCAAAATAATCTAAAAATGGCAATAAAATATTTGAAGCAGCAACAGTCAGCTTTTAAACAAATGACAGTAGGTCCAAGATACAGATGTATTTCAGCTGTATAATAAAGAATTTATGAGATTTTATAGTTCCTGGATCCTAGATGGCAGCCATGTGTATGTGTCGTGTGTTTGACCCTGGAAATATCAATAACGTGGCATGCAAAACAAGTTTAAAAACTCACAAACATCTTTGCAGACTTTATTTTACATCAGTTGCAAAAGAAAAAAAGCAAATAAAATCAATCTTCCTAATAACAAAAATATATTTAAGACTTCCAGCTGTTCACAGTTTAAAAAGTCAAAAAATACTACTCATTTTTGTTAAGAGGTAACGGGCTGAAATTTTTTTTTAGTGACAAGGGTTGTAGTCCATTATCATTAGACCGTAAAGTACAAAAATAAATTAAATAAGAGTAAAAAAAAGTTGTGCAATAATCTGGTATAAACAAAGTTAATGAAAAAGAACTGTCCTGAACTTAAGTTGTGGTTTTTGCTTTGAGTTTTTAAAAAATTAAAAACAGTATTTGTTCTCTGAAGCATCCACATAACATTGAGGTCCAGATGTTTTAATAACCAAATGTAAGCCTCATGAGTACTTTGCTTGTAGCGGTCTTTCTTTCTTTCTTTTTTTAAAGAAAGATTATTTCTGGCTGTCTTTTTCTTCCTTGGCAATTCTTTTTGTCACTCCACTGAAATACTTATCACGAAAGGAATTGTGACTTTTGTATGGCAGGTATTGGCTTTCCAATATGTGAACATCATGGTCTTCATCCTACATGGGATTAAAAATGCATTGTTCAAACATATTATTTATTTATTTATTTATTTGAAATATTTATATTCCGCCCTTCTCACCCCGAAGGGGTCTCAGGACAGAGCACAACATATAGACAGCAAGCATTCCATGCCAGAACATAAAATAACTATAAATATAAACAGATAGAAGGACATTTTCCCCAAGATAATGAAGTAAGCAGACTCAAATTAGAAACGTATTTGTGGCTGTATTTTAAGAATGGCTGCATTGACAATAAAGCATTTTGGAAGGGAGAGATCATACTGTAACCATTACTCCTGTCTCGCTCAGAGCTAAATAAAGTTGGGTCACAATTAAGATTGTTCATTCTAAAGAACAGATATTGCTGAACACCAATTCCCATCATCCCTCAATCCTGGCTATGAAGCTAGGAGAGATGTCTCTTCCAGTGAGTAAAATCAGCAAATATCCTTGTAGTAACCTTAAAGACTAAATACATCTATTGTGGCATAAGTTTTCATTGGTCCAAGCCCCATTTCACCAAAAAGAGGCTGAAATGAAAGTGACCCTTCTTTCTATCACTTTCACTGTTTAACATAATTCTTATTTTTTCTAGTAAACTCCTACACATTTACTTAGTCAAGATTTCTTTAAAATCTGAAATGAATTTGAACAAAAGTAGATTGCATTGTATTCTGTTGATATTTTCCTAAAAGCTCATGCTTGTTAATAAGACAAAAAGAAATGTAAGAATTGACTCATTTAAGCATCGAGATTTTTTAAAAGAAAAGTCTATGTATGTTTTTACTTGTATTCCCTTTCTGGTCATCATATCATTTGGCTCAGTCGTCTTCAGAATGAGTTCCAGCAATGCATTTTCTGGCACTCGATAGAAGGGCTGGATCCCTTTTCCGAAATGGCCTCTGTTGTGAAATGCAGTAGGCAGAGTTGTTTCCAATATCCAACAGTTCAATTAAATATTCATCGGCTTTCAGTTTGTTTCCAGGCCCAATACAGGAAACCGATAAATATTCATAAATCCCAAGATCAGGGCAAAGCGACCTCTGTGGTTTCAGGAGACAATTTTTGATCTCTGAAACCCACCAAAGGCTTTACAGACTATGGTAAGTGGCCCAAATCCAGGAACAAACTAAAAGTGTCAGTTTCTATTTTCAAAGGACAGAATATTAAAAAGCAAGAGAGGAGGCCCTCTTATCTATTTAGCAGTAGGTGGTTCAGAAGAGCTCCAGGGTTTGGGGGGGGGGGGTCCAAAAGTCCTCTTGGGTGTGGTTATTTTGCCCATAAGTGGTTTGGGAATGGCTCTTTTTAATGAACTTGTCATTTCAAAATACCGTTAGGTGAAATATGGAGGGACCTTTTTTAGGTGGTGACTTCACTGTTGAATCACATAACCATTTTTGAACATGATCTCCTTATCCAGAGAGTCAGCATGGTATTGTGGTTTGAAAATTGGACAGTGACTCTGGAGACTAGGATTTGAATCTCCTGCTTGGCCTTGGAAACCTATTGGGTGACCTTGGGCAAGTCACATTCTCTTAGAGGAAGACAAAGGCAATCCTCTTCTGAACAATTTTTACAAAACCCTGGTGATAGGAAGTTTACTTTAGGGTAGCTTCTCATCCTATTTTTATTTATTTATTTATTTACAGTATTTATATTCCGCCCTCCTCACTCCGCAGGGGACTCAGGGTGGATTAGAGTGTACACATATATGGCAAACATTCAATGCCAATTTGACATACAATGTATACAGACATACACAGAGGCTATTTAACTTTTTCTGGCCGCCAGGGGAGCTATCGCTTTCATCGTTGACACTGCGACACTGATGAAGTACTTCCGCATTCCCCGCATGCTTTTTGCTGGAGTGCTTTGCTGGAGTCTTTTTTATGGCCTCATAAATTAGTTAATTTAGCCTCCCCACACAAGGTGGTACCTAATTTTCCTACTTGACAGATGCAACTGTCTTTCGGGTTGCAAAGGTCAACAACAGGCTACACAATTTGGTTGGAAGATCACTCCAACCTGGGCTGGCTTTGAACTCATGACCTTTTGGTCAGAGTGATCTTAATACAGCTGACACTCAGCCAGCTGTGCCACAATCCCGGTGCTAAACCTCCCATGGACAATGAAAACATCCTATTACAGTGGTTCTCAACCTGTGGATCCCCAGATGTTTTGATCTTCAACTCCCACAAATCCTAACAGTTGATAAACTGGCTGGCATTTCTGGGAGAGGTAGGCCAAAACACCTGGGGACCCACAGGCTGAGAACCACTGTCCTATTAGGTCCGCATTCTCTTTTAAGCCGTCATTAAAACATAATATATATGTTTTAATTGTCTCTCGTTTTTAGATTTCTGTGGTAGATAGATAGATGGAGGGAGGGAGGGAGGGAGGGAAGGAGAAGGAGACAGACAGACAGAGTCGTTCATTTCACCAGAGGGGCATCCTTTTGAAAATCAAACTGATACATGTAATATTATGAAGAAACATACATGTGATTCTAGACATAACAATAAACTAAAGTTTACTCTATGAAGTCAAGCCTTCTCTTGTGGTATCTCTCTCTCCCTTCTCTCTCTCTCTCTCCCCCCCCCCCCCCCCCCATCCAATACACTTTCAAAGGAAATACTGGTTTCTTAAATTTCCATTTTGGGACAATCCGAGAATTTGTCAATCACAGAATCATAGAGTTGGAAGAGACCTCGTGAGCCATCCAGTCCCCTGCCAAGATGCAGGAAAATCACATTCAAAGCATCCCTGACAAATGGCAATCCAGCCTCTGTTTAAAAGTCTCCAAAGAAGCTTCCACTACACTCCGTTTGCATGTATTTAATTCAGACTCTCTCCTTCATAAATACCTTTAAAATGCCTAATCTTGTGGTTGCAGCCGTATTTTAACCAACTACGCAAATCATTTTTTAAAGCGTAAGATCATATTTTTTAAAAATCCAATAGCAAATAACTGCACAAAAGGCAATAATATAACCAGGCATGTACATCAAACATTTGGTAAAGTAACATCTTCATTTCAATCATATTTCTGAAACTTTTATACAAACATGATTGCATAAAAAGGGTTACTGCTGAGAGAAATACAAGTAACCATTTGAAGAATTGAAGATTAATGATATCCTACCTTGTACAAAAACAAAACAATGACCGATAAAAGTAACAAATCAGCTGTATTGCTTTATTTTTTTCTAATGTTTTGTAAAATTTCCTTTTCACCCCCAATTATTCTTGAACTCATACTACAAGAAAGGCCCACCAAAAGAGCAAAGTATCAGGAATACTTTACAGCAGGGGTCCTCAAACTAACGCCCGGGGGCCAGATGCGGCCCTCCAAGATCATTTACCCGGCCCTCGCTCAGGGTCAACCTAAGTCTGAAACGACTTGAAAGCACACAACAACAAGAGCAATCCTATCTCATCAGCCAAAAGCAGGCCCACACTTCCCATTGAAATACTAATAATTTTATATTTGTTAAAATTGTTCCTCATTTTAATTATTGTATTGTTTTAAAGTGTTTTTTGCACTACAAATAAGATATGTGCAGTGTGCATAGGAATTCATTCATGGTTGTTTTTTTTTCGAATTATAATCTGGCCCTCCAACAGTTTGAGGGACTGTGACCTGGCCCTCTGTTTAAAAGGTTTGAGGACCCCTGCTTTACAGTGTTTCAGCAAAAGTTATCGTATATAATCAATGAGAAGCAAGTTATGTTTATATCTGTCTTCACGCAGTGTATCTCATTTGCTTATAAATCTGAATTCTGAAACAACTTGCACGTTGAGAATTTTGAATCAGCAGAGGAAAGATTATAAGGGTAAATCCTTAAGAGAATGCTAAGCACAAAGGAAATACAACCTACCAAGAGAGAGTTTTGATGTGTTAATGGCCCTAATAACAAGCTCTCATAGTCTAAGTTGTGCTGAAATCTAAAAATCTGATTCATAACCATATGGATACTTGGGCTAAATCTAGAGTAGAATTGTTCCAATAGGACTTCACTATGTGTATACGCTGCATAATTCATGCAGATTGAAACCACTTTAACCAGTATGGAATCCTGGGAGTTGTAGTTTTACAAAGTCTTTAGCCTTCTCTGCAAAAGATTGCTGGTACCCCACCAAACTACATCTATATGTCAAACTGCATTAATTCTTACAAAGCAGATACACTCTCAGTTGAGAGCCAATGATGGATTTTTAAATAATCTTGTTGTTTTAAATCTAAATACATCATAATTTTTTCCAAGCTCAAAAGATCTTTTCCGAAGGTTTAGAAGAGCGTTATTGTTGATGACAGTGTTGTCTTTGTTATTTAAATATCACTTTCCCCCAAAACTCAAAGTGGCTTATTTTAAAAGAACAATACAATTAAATCATGCAAAAATTGAACTGAATTAAAGTCCTAATTAAAACCAAGGATAATTAAACTACTCAAAGTATTAAAAACCAGCACTAAAACACAGTATAAATGAAAAGGAATAAAATGTAATTTATTAAAAACAGTTTGGTTTAAACAATTCAGTGTGCCGTAGTGTGTTCTTTAAAAAGGCTGTTTTAAAAGCCTACCAGAACAAAAAAAGATTCAATGTCTCAGAATGGAAGACATCTATCCCATGAGGACCTTGTAGTTTTCAGCATCACTTTTGAAATGAGGCATTGCACTGGGACTATGTCCTTTATCATCTCTCCCATAATAAAACATTCACACAACCAGAACTATTTTAAAAAGTTCTATATTGCTTTGATATGAGAAGATCACACTTAGCTGCTATATTTCAATTTCAAATCTTTTAAAGTAAACACTGCGTGCCACAACTCCAAAGGTAGGATAAGCACATCACAGTGAATCCTTTGTTTTTGTTATAGAAATGCCCAATTGAGACCCCCATCTAAAATGCCATATAATGCAATTTGAAACTATATTATAAGGTCAGTGTAGACTCATATAATGCAGTTCAATGCAGTTAGATTGCATTATATAAGTCTACACTAACCATGTAATGTAGTTTCAAACTCCATGATACAGCAGTGTAGATGGGGTCTGAGCTTACAAGGTAATTGCATTGGGTCAAGACCCAGTTTCTTTCAGAACATTTATTTTTTACATATCTGAGACCCAAACCAATGTTAAGTATGCAGAAATGTTTTTTAATTGGTAAAGCATTATCTGTGCTTGAGATTTTGTTCAAATTGAAGCCCTCATGGAAACATCAGTGGAAACAAGGTGCTAAATCCACATAATAAGGCATAAAGGTAAAGGTAAAGGTTTTTCCCTGACACTAAGTCCAGTCGTGTCCAACTCTGGGGGTTGGCGCTCATCTCCATTTCTAAGCCGAAGAGTCAGAGTTGTCCGTAAACACCTCCAAGGTCATGTGGCCAGCATGACTGCATGGAGCACTGTTACCTTCCCACCAAGGAAGTATCTATTGATCTACTCACATTTGCATGTTTTTGAACTGCTAGGTTGGCAGAAGCTGGGGCTAACAGCAGGAGCTCACCCCGCTCTCCAGATTTGAACCACCATAGAATCATAGAATCATAGAATCAAAGAGTTGGAAGAGACCTCATGGGCCATCCAGTCCAACCCCCTGCCAAGAAGCAGGAATATTGCATTCAAATCACCCCTGACAGGTGGCCATCCAGCCTCTGTTTAAAACCTTCCAAAGAAGGAGCCTCCACCACACTCCGGGGCAGAGAGTTCCACTAATATTTTGGTCAGCAAGTTCAGCAGCTCAGCGGATTAACTCACTGCACCACCGGGGGCTCCCGAATAGTTAACCATTTTTAAACTTCTGAGCAAGTTAGATGTCTTATGGCTATCTGAATAGACTATAGCGGTGATTTTTTGTCTGTTCTTTTAAAGTGTATTTTCTGAAGGGAGGACATAAATCCATGTTGAAGCCAAAGGATAAACCCTGAACTGCGGATTGTCATACCCCATATTAGTAAATGGCGGTGACACAAATGTGGACACAGTGAAGCCTTCCTGTCAATGCCATTTAATAATATGGGGCGTGGTCATCCACATTTTTTCATATGAGCAGTGACTCCCAAAACTGAATCCTTGCATATACAGCAGGCACGCTATGCATTAATTCATGTCTGCCTGAGCCAATGATATATTTTGAAAAACATCTGAGCTGAGAAAGTTCCTCTTTATTGAATGACAGGGAAAGGAACAAGTACTACTTTCATAGGTCCTGTATTTGTAAAGAAAATAATAAAAGAGCAGAAGGAATAAGAATAAGCCTGTTTTTCTGCACTGTGGGCATTTATGTTCACTACCAAAAAACTATATTCCAAACAGAGAGCGGCAGTTGGGAGAGGGGAAATATTTTTTATCATGGCAGCTAACAAATATAATTTATCTCCATAATTTCAATTTATGTGAAGAAACGTAAACATCCTCAGATCAAATATTGTAAGGGTGGCAGCAAGACATGTAAACATGATAGGCGTACAAACACAGACACACACATATTGGAAAGATAAAGTAGTTTTCCCTCAATATAATGCTCTCCAGATGCAAGAGACTACAACTTGACTCATCTCAACTAACATGGTGATTATGGCAATTGCAGTCTAAGAGGTAAACTTATGAGTGCATCAAAAATGCAGCAAGAAAAATATTTTGACATGGCTAAAGGCATATTTAAAATATTTCAGATAAAAAAAGACATACAATTAATTTTATCCTTGTCTCAGTTACTAAATGATTCCAAACTAGGGGGAAATTAGGTTTCAGCTCTTGAATCTAATTAGAATCGAGCTTGGAAAACTCGTTAAATTGAAATTAAAGGTGCCTATAGTTAATCTGTGACTTGTTTAAAAGGGGAGGGGGAAATGAGGGAATGAAGTGGAGCTACGGAATTTATTTCAGGAACTAATTTAAGAAATTCTGATGTTATATTCAACCCAAATATATCAAGAGTTTTTTCCATGCTACAATCCTATGCTTTTGCTGAGGCTTAATTCCCACTGACCTCAATTGCAATGTCCAATAAGCAAGAATATGTTCTACTGTGTCTATCAAAATTCATAAAAGATTAATAATTCAGTTTTGCCACTTATAGCAGATTTTCCCTGGGACAAATGATTTTAGATTTGTTCACTTGTGCTAACTGGTTGTTCACCACTTTACTTTCATGAATTTTAAATGACACATGTAATAATAATTATAATTATAATTATAATTATTTTATTGATTAGCCTTTAGGTCATATCACAATATCAAACCAAACAACAAGGCTTGATAAGACTTGATTTCACTCTATGTAGTAAGTCAAAATGAGATACTTACACTTAACAATGCAGTAAATAAATAAGATAAAACTGAGTATATACATATTTCCTTATCACCCCAACAATTTACTCTGATCAGCCCCACATATATGGCATTTTGCTTAATTACAGAGCTGTTTTATATGTTATTTTTGGATCTTGACTATATTAGATAAAAGGGAAGAGTGTGAAAGCTGATAATCAAGTCCCCATGAATGTAGCTACATACAATTTCCTCCTTCTGGAACCTGTTATCTATGAAGCTATTGCCTTCCGATTATCCTAAAGCTCATACATTGGGTGACCAAGGACAGAAACTCTGGAAATGTGGGACCTTTATTTTAGCATTTCTGTTGACACAAGACGCAAGACTACATACTCAATTATTCCACTGTTGACATCTAAACAAGTAGAAGTCTTTGCTTATTTTTCATAAGATGTTTTCATCTTCCTTTCAGAAGACATTGATTTGTATTTCCTTGTGCAATATTTATGCATTCACACTCAGATTTTATTTATTTTATTCTCTAGTCTTTCTTTTATTATTCATTTATCTACAAAGTTTCATGCTGGGAAGCCCAGAAAAAAGGCATAATTTGAAACGTCATGCGCAGACGATGTGACAAGAAGATCGTGTTTGGTATTTGGGAGTCAAGTAGCACACATGCAAAGCGTTCTCTTGAAAACCAAACAAATCAGCATACATTAATATATAAGTAGAATTTAGCCCTGCTGTCCCTGACATTGTTAGATAAATTAATTCCTGTTACTTAAGTAGCAACTGTGCAGCACCTCAGCATCAAAATAATAAATCTAGAACCAAAAATAACGAGACTTTTTAAAAATAAAAAAATCAACATATATATCAGTAAAGCGTAACAAACATTCCCTTTGATTATAGCGTCCAGGCCTATCAGCACAGAAAGCACTTTTGCTTCTCATTTTTTGACATTTACGGCTGTTTTACAAACCGTCTAAAACCAACATATGAAAATGCTTTACTGCGCCTTGTCTGGTATAGTAAGTGCCTTAGATTTGTATCGAAGCAAAAGCCCGCTATCGGCTGTTTTGCACACAAACTCAATAGCACACAACGCCTGTTTTGCACACAAACTCATCAAAACAATTACCTCAAATTCTTTCACCTTTTCCATGGTTATCAGGTATCTTGACGTGTGGCTGGAAAGTGTCTGCTCACAGTTGCTAATCAGTTTCAGACACGGGTGCCGGGGTATAATCTCTTCTGTATATCTGGAAAAAATAAAACAGTCAAAGGGCTATTATATAAGAGCTCGTGAACTGTAATACGTGAATCTGAAACAGAACAGCCAGAGGGGCTGACTCAAACTGAATTAGACTACACACTTCCACATGGTTCATAGTCTTATTAAATTTCCCAGAGACAATGTGTGCTAATTGCTTTCAGGATCCAAAGCCACATGTGGAGCACAAAGGGAGGACAAAACAAAAGGCACGATGCAGGTGAAAGTTTGGCTGTAATGGGAAGAGTATGTTTCATGGGAGATTTCTTGTGTTTCAGCACCCAGGTCATTTAAAACGATTATGGGAAATTGTCTGCCAACGAGTATTCAAATAAGCACTGTCTTTATTCATACAACGCTTAGCTGTTTTTTCAGACCTAATCCAACAAATATACTACTGCCATCCTGAGCTCATGGGTGGAAAGGCAGGATACGGATGTAAAAAATGCAAAACATACTTCCTAAGCTGTAAATTCATTGGTGGGGGGGGGGAGGGGGCTCCAATAAATTGCAATTGGATCTGTTTCACTTGTGATTAACCCTAAACGCATTCCAATTTCTTAAGGGTCGCTGACTGCTAATACAGTCAAGGGCTGTCAGTACAGTATCATTCAGCCCAAAAAGGTATCTTTCAGTGTCATTCTGACATTAGCACATATTGTAAGCAGAATAAGTTCAGCACAATTCTATTCCTACTGCTTTCAAGCACAAGTCAGTTTTAAACTATGGATATTTATTATTATTATTATTATTATTATTATTATTATTATATGAATATATATATATATTAGTTTTGGTGTTTTTAGAAACATATTTATTTTAGACTTGAGCTTTATCTATGTGATTTTTTCAATGTTTTATTACCTTTTATAAAAGATATAACCCTGCCCCACAACTCCCCCCCCCCACTCCCATAGCCCAGCCCATAAAAGACATTAAGAGCACAGTTCATCTTCCCTCTCCAAACCGAGGCATTTATCAAAATGTTAGGTTGTACTTCTATTCTAATTGCTTTAACATCTGCTATATATACACAAATATAGTTGAAATTGCTACGTACCCACAAGTGATATTAATACAAACAATTTAAACATTTTAATGCAATTACATTCTTATAATTTCATGTTTTATTTCCCATATTAATGTCCCACAACTTTTTCTTTTTAATCTAATTTTACTGTACTTTTTCTATGAATTTTATCTTCTCTTTTTTGACATTTATGGATATTTTACAATGCTTCTAAAATCAACATGAAAATGCTTTACCGCGCCATGTCTGGTACAATAAGTGCCTTAGACTTGCACACCAACTCATCAAAACGATTACCTTATTTTTTTTTCATTTTTTCATGGTTTCAATTAATTGCAATTGGATCTGTTTCACTTGTGATTAACCTTGAACGCATTCCAATTTCTTAAGGGTCACTGACTGCTAATACAGTCAAGGGCTGTCAGTACAGTATCATTCAGCCCAAAAAAGTATCTTTCACTGTCTTTTCCTATGAATTTTAGCTATGTTTTAAGTATGTTCTGTTGTGTGTTATACTATGCTTCATTATGTTGTTTTTAGGCACTTGGTGCCATCTGTAAGCCGCCACAAGTCCCTTCGGGGAGATGGTGGTGGGTTATAAAGGTATTATTATTTCCTCTCAAGCCATGAGGAGAGGCAGGTAATACACTATGATGATGATGATGATGATGACGACGACAATGACAATGACAAGGACAACAATGATGATATGGCCAACTGGTATCAGCTGAAGTGATCTCGGACAGGGCTGTGGCGGAGCTAGTTAATAGCCACCTGCATTAAATCACTACTGACCAAGCGGTCATGAAGCCAGCCCAGGTTAGAGTGAGCTCCTGACCATTAATAGTCTAGCTTGCTGTTGACCTATGCAGCCCAAAAGAGAGTTGCATCTGTCAAGTAGGAAATTTGGATACCGCTTTATACGGGGAGGCTAATTTAACTAATTTACGACACCATAAAACCTTCCAGTGGTTTGTGTAAGAATGAGGAAGTACTCCCATCAAGGACTCATCACAAGTGGACGGTGAAGCAGCAGCTCCCCCTGTGGCCGAATTGAGCATACCCTCATGAAGCCAGAAAGCTGGAATGTTAAAATGCCTCTGTGTCTGTCTATATATTTTGTATGTCTAATGGCATTGAACGTTTGCCATGTATATGTGCATTGTAATCCACCCTGCAGGGTGAGAAGGGCAGAATATAAAAACTGTAAATAAATAATGAATAAATAAATCTCCACATAAGCATGTTTAAGATTATAATACAGGCATTCCAAATGCTCTTTAATAATTTCAGGTTGTTCCCCTCACCAGATACAACTAAAATCAGAACCATCCGATCTAGACTATGACCAGCCATGTATGAGAATACTTCAGATTCCAGACATTAATATTTTTAAAACATTACACTTACTCTGGTTTATATATAGGAAGCCAGTAAACCAATCTTCCTCCAATCACCAGGTATTCCGCCGCAAATTTTAACAGATCAAAAAGGATATCACTCAGATGATAATTTGAGGAAATGGAGATGTGATTTTCAGTTCTAGGCAGCATTATAGAACATAATTAATGTGGTAGTGGACACATGATTTTTAACCTTTTATTTAAAGAAAATATGATTTCACAATAAGAACACAAACAAGCATCTAATCCAACAAACATCAGGTCTCTCTATCACTCATGAGATTAAAAAGAAATAAACACACACACACACACACACATATCTGTTTCTGGAGCAATTGCTTTGAAAACCCCTTACCACCAACCTCATATACAACATGACTTGATTTCCTTATAATATGGGTTGATCTCCCATTGTCCTGAGTCTTCAGAGTCATGATCTCACATTGCTATGACTTGGCCCAAAAATTAAGAACCACCCCCCCCCTCCCCATTAGTGAATGGCTTTTCCCACTTATTTTATACCAATTCTCACTTAATTATATAAAGTTGCAAATTAGGCAGCACGATCTGATGCCAAAATCATTGCCCGCCAATTTCCATGTGAACAATTCTGCTTGTAGGATACAAGTTCCTATCTCAAACCCTACTTGAAAAACATGACAGAATAATTGGAAGCTAGTAACTAAATAAACATATTATCAGATTTGTCACTGGTTTAACAGAAAGCTTAATTAAAAAAAAATACAGACACATCGAGTCTTACTTTTAACACCTGCATTTCCAAAACAAGGTTCACCTACCCCTTTTCTGTCATTTTAGCCATCTCCTTTTGTGAACCAGTTCTTCTGGTGGCTTCTCGAATTCCATAGGGAGCTACACGGAAGAAATACATAAAACACATGCATTGTGAAACTGTTTCAGTGACATCAGTTACTGCAGAATAAATACATTGGCCAGAATTCTTACAAAAGTTTCTAGAGTTTTCATGGGCGCTTGTCACTCCACTGCAACAGGAATTAATCTGACTAGGACACACAAGTCTAATTAAAAAGAAGGTAATGATCACAGCCCTGTATGGTGAGGGGTGCAGCTACAATGTAGAATGAATGCAGTCTGACACCACTTTAACTTCTGTGGAATCCTGAGAATTGCAGTTTGGTGAGGTGACAGCACTCTTTGGCAGAGGAAATAAAATGCCTCATAAAACTTTAACTCCCATGATTTCATAGCATTGAGTCATAGCCATTAAAGTGGTGCCAAACTGCATTATTTTTATAATGCAGATGCACTCTTGGAGAACAAGACTTGCAAATCCAAGGATGCCACGAGGCCTAAAGCACTTCAGTCCAGCCAGAAGTATAGCTTGGTTTTCCTAAACATTTTATATTTGGTCAAAACAAGGCATAGAAAATTATTTTTAAAGGGAATTACAGTTTTCCAAGAGCTCATTTATTGGTTTATGAGGAAAATCTGTTGGGGCTTCTGGGGGCTCCAGTGGGTGCAAATTCCTCAGCTTGGAGGGTTGGGATAACCCACAATTTGAGATCCAGATAGCAAACCTCCTGTGACATGGACTCTGCCCATCAATTGAGATTTAAGATTTATATTAAGATACATTTGTCAAATTGCAATCCTAGACCCGACTAAAAATGGGATGCATTTGACTCAGTGGGACTTACTCCTGAATATATACATATGGGTAGGATCACGTTGCCACAAACGACTCTACTGTTTTTGCTAAAGGGCCATAAAAGAGTCCCTTTCTCCACAGAAGCAGTCAGCTAATTGAACCCTGTTTTAGGAGATTTGACTAATTCCTATGTTGGCAGCGTTTCAATGCTGCTACAGCTCTTTCTGGAAATTATTTCAGCAGACTTGGTTCCAAATCACTTTTTAAAATGCAGCCAGGATCCTATTGAATACCAATGGAGCAGAAATTCTTACTGGTATGATAACATGAGATCCCTGCTGGTAGTTGCTGCAACTTCTTCTTGGGAAATTTTGGATGAAATAATGTCACACCACGATCCGTTTTACAACCACATGATCCTGTTCCCTCTGTCTTTTGCTACTTGTTTTCTTCCTTTTGCTTTTAGCCTTGTTTCATCTCCATTTCCACCCTCTGCTTCCACACAATGAGCACTGACTCTTGAGTGAAACCCTGATTTGTTGCTGTTATCAGGCTTCACTTTGGATATAATTCTTAGAGGGCCTTTTTTAAAGTTTTAAGGGGTATTTTAACGTGTTTGATTTTTTTTTTTTTTACAAAATCTCTGTATGTTTTTGATCCCTTTTACTTGGGAGGCCTTGTGGGCTGGGAGGTGATATGTAAATAGTTTAAATAAATAATACTGCTTATAATAACTTTTTAATCATTTTGTTTCACTATTATAATGTTTTGGACAACTTCAAATGGTAAAATCACAATAATTTCCAGAGCAATCCCAAACCCTTTATAAATCCATTGTAGGCTCAAAACCTGCACTGAGAACGGTTTTTAATTTATATAAAGAGGAAAGAAGGAAAGCTTATGCTTTTAGAATCTGAAAATTGATATAGATTATATATCTTGTTTAGTCAGAAGAAAAGAACCATATATACTTGAGTATAAGCTGACCCAAATATAAGCTGAGACACCTAATTTTACCACAAAAAACTGGAAAAATGTATTGACTCGAGTATAAGCCGAGGGTGGGAAATGCAGCAGATGATGATAAATTTCAAAATTAAAAATAGATACCAATAAAATTATATTAACTGAAGCATCAGTAGGTTAAATGTTTTTGAATATTTACATAAAACTGTAATTTAAGGTAAGACTATCCAACTCTGATTAAGCCATTATTCTAACCTTCTTCAATGTAAATGTACTTACGTATTCTTCCAATAAGAATATTTATTTATTTACAATATTTCTATCCCGCCTTTCTCGAACCCGAAGGTGATTTAAGGCGGCTTACAGCCAGGCAGTTATTTTATGCATTAACAATATACTTAAAGCCACATTTAAAACAGAATTAAAAAGTACATACAATAAGACCTTTAAAAACATATAAAACCAATATATAAAACCATTCCAATATTCAATTTCACACAATTCCGTGTTTGTCTATTGCACTGCATTTCAAAGGCTTGTGCAAATAGCCACATTTTCACTTTTTTACAGAAGGTAAAGAGGGAGCGGGCTGATCTAATATCCCTAGGGAGGTAGTTCCACAGCCAAGGGGCCACCACTGAGAAGGCCCCGTCTCTCCTCCCCGTCAGTCACACCTACGAAGAAGGTGAGACCGAGAGCAGGATCTCCCCAGACAATCTTAAGCTACTAGATGGTTCATAGGGAGAGATACGTTTGAACAGGTAAGCTAGGCCAGAACCATTTAGGACTTTATAGGCCAGCACTATAAAATAATAAATGTAATAATAATAATAATAATAATAATAATAATAGAGTAAAATAATGGAAATGTAATAATAACAATAAATAGAGGAAAATAAAAATGTAATAAATGTAATAATAACAATAAATGTAATAAAATAATAAATGTAATAATAATAATAACAGCAGCAGCAGCAGAGTAAAATAATAAATAACCTTGACGCGAGTAAAAGCCGAGGGGGCCTTTTCATCCTAAAGAAAGTGCTGAAAAAGTCAAGGATATATGGTATTTTTATATTATGCATTCTATTATTCTTAACTCCCTTTTTAATAGTAGCTATTGTATGTAGGTTGAGTTATTTTGCATATTTATAGTGCCCCCCATGATTTTTTTAAAGTAATCTGTTGAGGGCTTTGCAATATAGATTGTTGGTGAAGATGAATGGTTTGGGGTTCCCTCCATTCATTTAGGCTGGAGGAAATTTCAAATAAAAAGATCCAAGGATGACTCTCTCAGTCACCGTGAGAAGCCAGTCTTTGCAACGGCGCTCCCATCCCTTACTTGGGACTCACCTTTAATTCACCTTCCAAGGGTGTAGTCTTTTAAAACAGGTAACATATTTGTGATCTGACTTATTTTTAATAAAATGCTATAAAGATCTTATAAATCTTATTGAGCCATTAAAATACTAAAAAAAAATTCAGCATAAATTTAATTACCTTTAATCAAGCATCTGTGGACATGATTTTTTGCACTATGTTTAACCTCTTTGATTCACAGATAAAAATCAGCCTTTTTAACCAATCACATTTTTAATTGTTCACATTTCTTTTTGTCTTTTTTCATAGTCAGGCCCTGCTGTATACAGCAATGGATTTTATCCATGCATTCATAAAACAGTTACATTTAGAACTTTGTGTTTAATAACCAGCATACATTTGCATATTTAGACATTACCACAGAGTGTAAATCACTACATTCAAATATGCTTTAAGTTTGCCTTAACCTGAGGGAATATTTTCAAGGTGTCTAATGAGAAGAGGGTGTTTAATTTACTCTGACTTGCAATTAGTATCAAAGACCTAATTTCCATTCTGCCTTAAAAGGCTTTTTTTCTTTCCTCCAAATATTGTGCATTCTAAAGCTGCAAAGTCCAACATCTTAAAGGCTATGGATTCAAAGGAATTTAAATATTGGATTTTGTTGTTTTGTAAATAATGTTTCATTGCTTCATAAACAACTTCAGCAGAATGAAAGAAGATTCAGATTCAGGACACTAGCAGATGAAATCTGGATTTTTATTTGCACACAATGTGATAATTTAAATCCAGAGGCTGATCAGTATCAACTGGCAAATGCCATCCCTTTATTATGTTCTCATATTCATAAATAGGACAGGAAAAACATTTAATGTATTTAGCACATTACTGGCAACTTAATGTTCAATCCAGTTAGAAACAAGGAAAAATTCCTGCAAGTAAAAGCAATCAGAGTGACTACTAAAATGAAAAACAGGGAATCAGCCCAGAAAGAAAGAACCCCTCAAAGCGTTTCTAAAAAGGGACTGGTAATAGGTTACAAATTCTGAGAAATATATACATTCAAGGTAAAATTAAATTATTACAATAATAATTCATATCCAGTAGATACCTGGAGGTGGTTACAATGCAGAAAAAACTAGATTGCATTCTTACTGCTGATGCCTTTCAACTTCAAACTGGAAATTCGACATGTCAGCATAAAATTTGCAATTACACAAGACCACCAAGGTAGGAACACCATTGTAAGCGAATGTGAGAAGGTCATAGAAAATTACAATATGCTTTTAAAAACCTCTTATGCCACTAGCATTTGCAAATTACTGAAAATCGCCCTTGTAAGATCTAATTTACATAAATTAAAGTAAATATTTGACAGCTTGAAATAAGAGGCTCTCCATTCACTGGGCTTGTTGTAAGTAGCCTGCAATTCTTTTTTAAATCAGTGTGGGTGTCCTTGTCCTAAAGTTCAGTTTAGAACAGACTGTAAACTACATGACGTGCTTGTAAATGTTTCCATTATCATCACTATATATACTATAATTATGTATCATTCATATTTTACATCATAGATCAACTTACGGTCTGTGATTATTGCATCAAACTGTGTTCCCTTCCTCCATATGGGCCTTGATGCATCAGAAACGAATGCATCAAGGTAGTGCTTTTCCAAACCATACTGCCGGAGGTTTGCTCTGATATTTTCATCTGGCCCTCTCCACTTCTGGTTCTTCCTGCTAGCTTTGCCTTGGAGCAATTAGGAGTGATGGAAATAAAATTCAGATATGTGGCTTAAAATAATCATCGATGTTTCTTCATTCTTACTGTAACTTATTTATATTCTTCTCTTATAAATAATCCCTGGTGAGTAGCTCTTGTTTAAAGCCTTTACGAGCATAACTCCCAAACACCAGGAGCCTCACAGCAGCCATGATGGATACAAGAGATTGTGCATATCTAAACTTATTCTATAAGTTGTACAAGAAATTAAATAATTGCTTTCTACTTCACTCAGGCATAACTACAGCAATATTTGCCTGTCTTTCATAACTGTGGCAGTACTTTTTATCTCGGTTGAATGTAATTAATCCTATACAATTCTAACTATAGTTAAAGAGAGTGTTTAACTATACTCTCTTTAACAATTCATGTATGTTCTTCTCATGCTTCCTGAAAACATGAAGAACTTAGCACTCACACTTCCTACAAAATGCAAAGAAATGTCATCTCCACTTTTATGGCATTTGTTAGTCTTTTAATGCATTATCACTATATCTTCTTCAGTAAAGCAGCAGGGGAGCGACTCAATCCAATCCACTCCACTGTTGTTTCATTCACATGGAAAACAACATATCTAAAGTGAAAAACAATATTTTTTTTTCGTGTCAGGAGTGACTTGAGAAATTGCAAGTCGCTTCTTGGGTGAGAGAATTGGCTGTCTGAAAGGACATTGCCCAGGGGACACCCAGATGTTTTACCATACTGTGGGAGGCTTTTCTCATGCCCCTGCATGGGAAGCTGGAGCTGACAGACGAGAGCTCACCCTGCTCCCCGTATTCAACTTGCTGATCTTTTGGTCAGCAGTCCTGCTGGCACAACGGTTTAACCCACTGTGACACCGAGAGCTCCTAATAATAATAATAATAATAATCATCATCATCATCTTTATTTATGTCCTGTCCCCTCTCCCCAAGGGGACTCGTTAGTATAGATCATGTTAGTTTGGATCCTCTTTACAAGTTTCTGAAAATCATGGTTCATGATAAGGAAAAAAATGAAATGGAAATTTACTAACAAGAACGTCCCTCTACAGACATATTGCTTTTCATGTGAGGGAAACCATAAAGGAGTGATTAGGGCTATGTGCTCTCCTGCTGATAAAAATTTGCTGAACATGGCATCTGTTTATCCTCACATGCAGCTCTATAGTAGTGTGGAGGTCATACTTCACTCAATTCGAGAGATGCATGAAGAGGGAAAGTCAACTATGTGTAGGTATTTCCCAGGGATATCACATTCTGATATGACAGTATGAGCATAATTTAGGTGTAATTGATTTTCTGTGGATTGTGCTTTACTGCACATTGTCTATACCACAGCTTCTTACATTGTGGGTCCCAACCCCAAATGGAGACCCCTTACCTCAATGTTGAGGTCACAAAAAATTGGCAGCAGTAAATGGTTCTGAATGCCACTCATTTATACAAATCTCTTCGCAACCACATGCAGTATTTACAATAGACTCTGCAGAAAATGCTTCAGCTGTACTCCAGAAAAAGGACAATTTCCCTGTTTAGCAAGCCCTGAAAATGCTGATTTATTATCAATAAATGTTTGTTTTGCATAGCTATTTTATATACCTTTTCTGCCCCCACAAGCTGTTTGCATGGAGGTGTCCTAATCTTACTGGGAACAGAGTTGAAAGGCTCAGAGGAACAGTTGGATAAAGAGTTTAATTAAAAAAAATAGCAAGGTTCAAATCCCAACACCTCCTGATCTAACTGGCAAAAGACTGCCTTATGTTAATATGTTTATATTGTCACTGCTAAGTAGTGAAAGAACATACCCAGGCCATGTACTGTGCTATAGTCTATATCCGTTCCAAATACATAGGCTCCAAAGTGTGCTGATGCGATAAGAAGTCCGCCTGAAAGACAAAAAAAGACACTGCATTAGTGAGAATCCTTCACTTTCCAAACACAACATCCAAAAAAGCTAAGTTCTAAACTCTTAGAGACCAATATAGTCTATAAGGTAAAGTTTCCCCTGACATTAAGTCTAGTTGTGTCTGACTCCGGGCAGCGGTGCTCATCTCTATTTCTAAGCCAAAGAGCCAGCGTTATCCATAGACACCTCCAAGGTCATGTGGCTGGCATGTCTGAATGGAGTGCCGTTACTTTCCTGCCAGAGTGGTACCTATTTATCTATTCACATTTGCATGGTTTCCAACAGCTTAGTTGACAGAAGCTGGGCCTAACAGCAGGAGCTCACCCCACTCCCTGGATTCAAATTGCCAACCTTTCAGTCAGCAAGTTCATTAGCTCAGTGGTTTAATCTGCTGCACCACCAGGGGCCCCTGATATAGCAGCAAATAAATGCGGAGGTAGCCAAGAACACCAAACCAAAACAACAAGTGGGGCAGGCGAATCAATGGGGTGCAAAGGGGTTTAAAATTGGACTGGCTCTTTTTGGAAGGACAGAAATTTGAGAGGCTAGGATGGAGAGCAAGAGATATAAGTGAAGAGGTAAATGGGCTGCAAAGGGGTTTAATATTTAACGCAGTGTTGGGAGGGTGGGGGATTGAGAAGAAGTGGGGAGCAAGGACATTCAGCTAGTTAAGCGGTAGCTACAAATCCACATATAATCAAATCTGTGAAAGAGTAACCTTCGAATGTGAAGGGCCAACTGTACTTCATTCTGCCATTATTATAGTCAAAAGCAAGAAACTATATCTGAATCGTTATTGCAAATCTCAACAGCTCTGTTTGGAATTCTAGGAGATGCAATAAAGCTCCGTTCACAATATTTTGGGATTCTTCAAACTTGGTATTAGTGTTTTCTTCAGGCCAAATTTAGTCAGTTTATACTTACTTGATCTTATTGTGAAAGCAATGTTAAATTTAAAAAATCAAAAGAAACTGCTTTTACCTATAAATGTGATAAAAGTGCCCTCTACTGGCACATTAGAAAATGTTAATGAAAAGATCTTGATTCTCATGTGGACAATTTTAACAGAAAGGAGGAATCCATGAAAATGAACAAAATCTGGCTTCCAGTATTTAAAAAACTCTAAAATCAGGACAGTAAATAAAGACCAACACTCAAATCAGGGGAATTCCAGAAAAGAATCAATCAGGGCCAGCTAACATCTTCCAAAAATGCTCCCCCAGACAGCAACCAGCCAAGCTTTGAAGCTAGGTAAAGGTAAAGTTTCCCTCTAACATTAAGTCCAGTCGTGTCCGACTATGGAGGTTGGTGCTCATCTCCATTTCTAAGCCGAAGAGCCGGCGTTGTCTGTAGACATCTCCAAGGTCATGTGGCTGGCAGTACTGCATTGAGTGCTGTTACCTTCCTGGTACCTATTGATCTACTCACATTTGCATGTTTTCAAACTGCTAGGTTGGCAGAAGGTGGGGCCAACAGCAGGAGCTCAGACAATTCAAACTTGCAACCTTTTGATCAGCAAGCTCAGCAGCTCAGCATTTTAACCCACTGTACCACCGGGGGCTCCATTTAATGGGCTGCAAGGCCATTAAATGCTAATCAAGGTGCCAATTGCAGCATTCACACTTGCCTCAGGCAGACAAGAGTCTTTCTCCCACCCTGGGCATTCCACATATACAATGGGGGGGGGAGTATTTAGTCAGATACCAATTGTACAAGTTCTCCCACTTAAAAAGATGAGAGAGGCCTGTAACTGACATCATAGATAGCCCTCAACTATGAGAGACAACTTTATTTATTTATTTATTTGCAGTATTGATATACCGCCTTTCTCACCCCTGGGGGGACATGAGAAAACACATCCAGAAAATCACATTGTCTGAGTTTTAACTAATTTATTTGCAAATTGTGCTGGAAAATAAGTATTTGGTCACCTACAAACAAAGATTTCTGGGTCTCACAGACCTGTAACTTCTTCTTTAAGAGGCTTCTCTGTCCTCCACTCATTACCTGTAGTAATGGCACCTATTTGAACTTGTTATCAGTATAAAAAACACCTGTCCGCAACCTCAAGCAGTCACACTATGGTGAAGGCCAAAGAGCTGTCGAAGGACACCAGAAGCAAAATTGTCACCCTGCACCAGACTGGGAAGACTGAATCTGCATAGGCAAGCAGCTTGGTGTGAAAAAATCAACTATGGGAGCAGTAATTAAAAAATGGAAGAAATACAAGACCACTGATAATTTCCCTCAATCTGGGGCTCCATGCAAGATCTCACCCTGTGGGGGTCAAAATGATCACAAGAACGGTGAGCAAAAATCCCAGAACCATACGGGGGAACCTAGTGAATGACCTGAAGAGAGCTGGGACCAACGTAACAAAGGCTCCTGCAGTGCCAGACATGTCCCCCTGCTTAAGCCAGTACATGTCCGGGGCCGATTGAAGTCTGCTAGAGAACATTTGAATGATACATAAGAGTATTGGGAGAACGTCATATGGTCAGATGAAACCAAAGTAGAACTGTTTGGCAGAAACACAACTCGTCGTGTTTGGAGGAGAAAGAATGCTGAGTTGTAAATGTTAGTAGATCAATAGGTACCACTTCAGGAGGAAGGTAGCGAAGCTCCGTGTAGTCATGCTGGCCATATGACCTTGGAGGTGTCTACGGACAGCGCCTGTTCTTCGGCTTAGAAATGGAAATGAGTACCACCACCCAGAGTCTGATACAACTAGACTTAATGTCAAAGGAAACCTTTACCTTTTTGTTCCTGGGTTATAAATGTCATTTCCTAATTGTTTCTATCATAGAAACATAGGGAAAGTCTGCACAAAAGGTTAAAAATGACATATGACAGGTTAAAAATAACACAATGAAAAGTTAAAAGTGGCAGCTACAAAAAAAAAATTCTGGAGTATAACAACTTCATTCAAAGTAAATATCGCACAATTAAACAGGAAATAACACTTTCAAATCAGGAACATAATTTTTTTCAAATTTTGTTACATAGTGTTATTGCATACTTTATTCTATCCAGACAGAATGCTAACAAAAGCAACCTCATCTTAATAGGTAGAAGCTATTTTATATTTAAAAGTAAAGGAACAGCAGGCAAAGAACCAATGAATAAATACATTCAATAAAGAATAGACTGGATGGAGAAGTGATACCTGTTCCGACAAATGGATCGAATACAACATCATTTGGTTTTACTCTCCCATGGTTTGCCATGATAAAGGCCAAACAAGCATCCATGCTTGTATTCCCAATAAAATGTCTCTTTTTTACACTGTATGATTCAATAAGATCCCTTTGTCCATTGGCAATCTGTGGAATATAGGGAAGGAGAAAGACAACATGAATGAATTACTTTGTTACCAAGCACTGCTAAAAATAATCAGATTACAAATTCAGCTTTTGAAAAACAATTTCCTACAATATGTTATCTCAGACAATAACACTGAGCTGAGCACATAAAATGAAGAATGTTTGGTTTTGTTATTCCAAAACATTCTCTAACGTTGTGTTTTATTATTCAGTCGGCTGTTTTGTTAAACATTGTGACTTGAGATGTTGAAAATGTATCAACTGCATAAAGAAACTGAGTTGCTGTGAGTTTTCCGGGCTGTATGGCCATGTTCCAGAAGCATTTTCTCCTGACGTTTCACCCACATCTATGGCAGGCATCCCAAGAGGTTGTGAGTTTTGTTGGAAACTAGGGAAGTGGGGTTTATGTATCTGTGGAATGTCCAAAGTGGGCGAAAGAACTCTTGTCTGCTTGGGACAAGTGTGAATGTTGCAATTGATCACCTTGATTAGCACTGAATAGCTTTGCGGCTCCAAAGCTTGGCTGCTTCCTGCCTGGGGGAATCCTTTGTTGGGAGGTGATTAGACGGCCCTGATTATTTCTTGTCTGGAATTCCCATTTTGGGGTGTTGCTCTTTATTTACTGTCCTGATTTTGAAGTTTTTTAAATACTGTCAGCCAGATTTTGTTCATTTTCATGGTTTTCTCATTTTTGTTGAAATTGTCCACATGCTTGTGGATTTCAGTGGATTTTCTGTGTAGTCAGACATGGTGGTTGTTAGAGTCATCCAGCATTTCTGTGTTCTCAAATAACATGTTGTGTCCAGTCTGCACAAAAGGTTAAAAATGGCATATCACAGGTCATGCTGCAAGGCTAATCAATGCCAATCAAGGTGATCAATTGCAACATTCACACACCTCAAACAGACAAGAGTTCTTTCTCCCACCCTGCACATTCCACAGATATATAAACCTCACTTGCCTAGTTTCCAACAGACCCCTCAACTTCTAAGGATGCCTGCCACAGATGTGGGCAAAACATCAGGAGATAATGCTTCTGGAACATGGCCATACAGCCCGGAAAACTCACAGCAACCCAGTGATTCCAGCCATGAAAACCTTATATATAGTTTTTGCAGAACTGAAACGATAGAATTTATATTAATATTTAAAAGAAAGCACACTAAAATGCTCATGGATTTCATAAAACAGTTTTGTGTCATAAACATGAGCATTTGCTCAAAGAACTGCAATACATAATATAAATTATGTGAAAATAATTCTGCATTATCCCATCCACTTTCTCATCTATCAACTCTATCTGATACTATAATTATTCTTCCTTAGTATGTTATTTAAAAAGTAATGTAATGATCAACTCACCCATCTCCCAAAATACAAATCAATAGGATGCTCAGGAATATTGTTTGGATCCATTCCATAATCTTCTAGTAACCAAAATATATTGTCCGGTTTCTTTAAATTCACTTTTCCTTCAAATGGTAAAAACTCTAGAGACTTAATTAGGATAGCAGGGACAAAACAGGAATACAAAATAACAGATAAGTTATTGTCATGATGGGGTTTTATTTGTTCCTTTTCTTTTGCGTACTGAAGTACCACCAAAATAACACTAACAATGAGTACAAGTCACTAAACTCAAACTGTAACTGTATGTAATTTGATGGTCCCTTCCCAACAAGTTACCCAAAATGGTGTACTTATCAAAAACGTAATATTCATCGAATATTTAAAAACATATATAATGGGGAAATTACTATAAATCCCAGTAAATTAAAAGAAATAATGAGTGCTGATAAGCTTTTTTTGCAGAAGGAATACTAATAGATTTATTACTGAGCTGCTTTTCTGTGATCTTAGAAAATTTATTCTCGAAAGTATGAAGATAACAAGTAACACTCCTGGATGATAGTGAAAATATTCCAGTAGAGTGGAGAAGGGTAAGATGGGCCTTTCCAAATAGAAACCTAGACCATGTAGGGATTTGAAAACAGGACTCAACTTCTTGAATTTGGGATTTTATTGGATTCTAACCTCTGCATTATAACTCACCATCTGTGATTACTGGCTAGAGCATATGGGAGATGCAGTCCAGTAACATTTTGATAGTCACAGAATATGTATCCAATCATCTTTCGACATATGTTGTGATTATAGCTCAACTACAGCACATTCTAAGTGAAATCTAATTATCCGGTCTATGTTCAAAGGAAGCCCCATGATATGCCCACTGATAAACTCATGAGGTTTGCAATGGACTGTCACAGTTAGTCAGATTCTGTCTTGCTAAGTGAAACTGATAAACCTCTTTCCTGGTCAACACTGCCTCTGTGTCTAAGGATGGAACAACACAATCCAGACTGCAAATCGCTCTCTTTACAAGCACGTGCCCCTACCTCTGTCCATCAAATCAACATATTGGTAGCCTGTTTGGAATACTTTTAAATTTCTGTACCAAATAAACACTTTTATCAGGAATGTTAAGGAAGCCTATTTGCAGGTAAATATACAACTTGCAAATAATTTGCTGAAGGTAAATGTGAAAACACCAGCTAGGCAGAGTTTGTTAAGTGAACTTGCATACGGTTTGCCTAAAATGGAAAGCAGGCTGATTGGTCTATAGTTTCCGGGGTCTTTTGGGGAGCCTTTCTTATATATGAATGAATGAATGAATGAATGAATGAATGAATGAATGAAACTTTATTTACAGCCTACCCTATTTCCCCCAAAGGAACTCAGTGTGGCTCACAACAAAAAACATAATGATAAACATTCAATGTTGACAGTAATATATAAGCAAATCAATAAACAAATCAAGAACAACTCAATAAATTATAAACCAACATAAATGAACAAGACGTAACGTAATCCACATAACTGCTAACATATTAAATTCTTAAAACATCATTTAATATCTCTAAAATTAGGCTAAAATTGTTGGGGAAGAGATGGAAAGAAGCAGGTTTTGGAGCTACAATTGCAAGTTTCCACTATTGTTCATTGATGGGTCTATGAACTGAAATAAATATCTTTGCTGTTACTGTTGTACTGTAAGTGAACTTAGCCCTGGAATCTCTTTCAATGCATATGTTGAATCTATGATCATATGAACAAAGGCTGGATCTACACCGCACTATACCCCTGGATCTGATTCCAGATTATCTGCTTATCCTCGATTATCTGGCAGTATAGATTCATAAAATTCAGTTCAAAGCAGATAATCTGGGATCAGATCCTGGGATATGGGGCAGAGTAAATCCAGCCTGAGGAAAGAGACATACTGTGTGGCATTCTTCCAACACTGAACAACAACTTGCCTGCACATCTGGCAATGATTTTGAGGGCAAAGGGGCAGATTTAGAGGTAGTTATGGTGCATCTCACACTTATGCCTTTGGGAAGTAAGGACAGCCTATAGAAGACAAGCTGCAACTCATCCACCTTGCAAATAACTATTCCAAAGCTAAATACTGCCAAATATCTACATAACCTTGTTTTACTGTATCCAGTTCTGTATGTTTGTGCCTTCAAATCACCTATCCATTTGTGGTGACCCCAACAATTTTATGGAGTTTTCTTAGGCAACAAATACTCTGAGGTGGTTTTTTCATTTCTCTAAAATATAACCTTCGGCACCTGTTTTTTTTTTTTTTTGTTTGATTGTTTTTTTTTTGTTTGTTTGGTTTTTTTTTTGCTAATATCCAAGTACTGACCAGTTATGTAGTGTTAAGGAAAAACATAAATATAAGCAATTGATTCAAAAGGTTACAGAGTACTTACATCTATTCTTTGTATTTTTTCTTCTTGTGTCAGTGTTTTGTTAAAAGCATGAACCTTTATCTTGTACGTTAAGTCAGACTGTAAATACGGAGCCTAAAACAAAGAAAAATATTTTGGCTTAAGGACATGGTTCAGTGTGCTGTTGGTTACAGCTGAATAACAAGTTCTAGGAAAACATAAACCTAGACAGGTTCATTTATACAAACCATATTCTCTATTGGATAATTCTTCAATGAAGAGTACAGCTCATCTGTAGATTTTCCATGACCCCACAGCTCAAATATAGATCTGAAAGTGTCACAATACTTAGGTTATATTCAGCAAGAATTGGGGGGGGGGGGGATCATAAATGCCTTTCCTAGTTTACTAGATTTATTCTGACACCCCCTATGAAATGAACATACAGTGACTATCAACATGGAAAATCACCACAGAAGCAGGAAGGGAACTTTCTCCAATCTATAATTCCAAGCATGATTCTTACTTTGCACATACTGTTCGTTGCATTAGTCCTCTAGCTATATCTTCTGAAGGAAGGCTAAGAATCCAAAATGGAGACTGAAAAGAAGGTAAAAAGAAAACAGCAGTAAGTTTAAGGAACAAGTAATATGACTAATGGAAGGAATCCCATTGCTTGTGTGACACGTGTACTAATGTTTTGTTCAGCTGCACTGCCAGCTTACCATCACAATGGAACCAAAAGAAAAGCCTATCAATGAATCAAAAGCGACCTCTTCTTTCCTTGCTATTGCCATTTTCTTCCCAATTACAACTAACTAATAGTACCATGTTAGGGAGGAAGGGGGAAAGGAGGTAGTGGTATGTATGTGTGCATATATACATGTATTTATAGATGGCACTTTTGATTTGAAAGCATGGAAATAAATAAATACAACGGAAAGCAATTCAAAAAACTGATGGCGAAGTCCTGCTAAAAGCACTTGATTAATCCCAATGAATTTAATGAAGCTCTTGCGTAGGAAACTGTAGAGTATAGCTTACAGTTTGCTATAAATTATAGAGAGCGAAATGTCAGTCTTTTATGACAGTCTTGTACAGACTTACCTGAACTCAGGTTTTACTAAGTTCATCTTGACATACTTTTAAGATTGTTCTATACAAATCAAAGACCAATGCTGAAGTTCATACAAAGAAACTCTAAAGTAAATTTCACTTGTTCTAAAGGGTGTATTATACAGAATACATGGAATTTCAACTTCTATTATACTAGTAGTTTTGGAATTTTTCCTGTATCTCCCAGGTGGTGCAAATTAGATATGACACGTTATGCATATTTTGTAAGACTGCCCTCAAGTTTAAAGATAGTTATAATATGCAGTGTGAATAACACATTAAGTGACATATATATTTAAGATGGAGGCCCCCGGTGGTGCAGCAGGTTAAACTGCTGAGCTGCTGAACTTGCTGACCAAAAGGTCAGTGGTTCGAATCTGGGGAGGAGGATGAGCTCCGGCTATTAGGCCCAGCTTCTGCCAATCTAGCAGTTCAAAAACATGCAAATGTGAGTAGATCAATAGGTCTGGAAGAAAGGTAATAGCACTCCATGCAGTCTTGACAGCCACATGACCATGGAGGCATCTACGGACAATACCAGCTCTTCGGCTTAGAAATGAAGATAAGCACCACCCCCCAGAGTTGGACACAAATAGATTTAATGTAAAGGGGAAACCTTTACCTTTACCTGACATTTAAGATGGAGGGAAGTGATCTGTACATTGTCCTGAGTCAATTAAAGTCAATGGGAAAGTTGTAACCCAGCAATATTGGGAGGACTACATTTTGCATCCTCCCAGTTATGTAGGATTACGTTATCCCTGATGATGTACAGGCCATAATACAAAACAAGATAGCAGAAGGAATGCATGACTTTTTTTCTAAACCCACATGTTTTCCCAGGATGCTAAAAAAAGAGATGATTAATGAGGAAAGGTGATATGATTTCATATTAGCTACTCGCTAAGCATAGATGCCACACACAAAAAGATGCCTCATCCATAAATCAAAGTGTTATTCAATTTTCAGCATTTCTAATGAAAGACATTTTTATTCCAGCACTCCAGTTTCCAAAGGTATTTGTACTGTATCTAAAATTTAATCCTTTCATGGTCCACTTTCACTGAAAGCATTATTGATATCAGTAAGGCGAAAGCTTGGCTTGAAAGGACTCATTCCACTGAGTCAATAATTTAAAGCTCACAAAAGCTTAAGGTTTTGTCCTGGACCCAAACTTACATTTAGTCGTAGTTCCTGCTGACTGCTCAATCGTCCACCACAGAGGGAAACCAAAGATTTTATTTCCTAGGGAAAAGATCACAAAAATAGTTCTGGAAATTAAACCAACATCTCAAAATGTTAAATTTGTTGATTTAACTATGAAACAAATGTTGTCCTGAATCACACCTGAAGATTAAATTCTTCTGGAAAACAATCCTGATGGACACTCCATCGAATATCCAATCTTCCCACTCACTTAGTATTATATTATTATATTTTATCATTCAGTTTTAACCACATTGTACCCCCAGCCTCAAGTCGTATACAAATCATAATCATAATTTACAGTGTAATTGTTGTTGTTGTTTGTTGCAAATTGCCTTTTGAAGTCATTTTTGACCTATAGTGATACTATGAATGAAACGTTTCCAAGAGCCACTGCCATCAACTGGCTTGGCCAGATCTTGCACACTGAGCACCTGGATTATGCAAACCTCTCTGTGATCCCTGTGTATTCAGATACAACCATCCATAACTTGTTTTACAAAGGAAATCCAGAAGCAAACCTTGATTTTTGCCATTTTTTATGAGGGACACCATTTTACCATGCCGTTGTATATAATGGGACTTAAGCATCCATCAGTTTGGGTTTTCATGCAGGGTTGTGGAACCAAACCCCCGTAGATACTGTATACGTGCATTTTAACTGTTACTTTTTTAAAAAATACCATTGATGTTTCATTCTGTTGTCCATGGTGGGAGAAAGAACTCATTTCCTTGAGGCAAGTGTGAATGTTGCAATTGGCCAACAATCGGGAAACCATGAAAATGAACAAAATATGGCTACTAATATTTTTTTAAAAAACTCTAAAATCAGGACAGTAAATAAAGAAAAACACTAAAAAACAGGGAAATCCAGACAAGAATCAATCAGGGCCAGTTAACACCTCCCAACAAAGGATTCCCCCAGGCAGGAAGCAGCCAGGCTTTGAAGGCCATAAAATGCTAGCTAATTAAGGTGGCCAATTGTAACATTCATACTTGCGTCAAGCAGACAAGAGTTCTTTCTCCTGCCCTGGACATTCCACAGATATATAAACTCAATTTTCCTAGTTTCCAACAGACCTCACAACCTCTGAGGATGCCTGTCATAGATGTGGGCAAAAAGTCAGGAGAGAATGCTTCTGGAACATGGCCATACATCCCGGAAAACTCACAGCAACCCATACAATTGATGTGGGTGGCTGTAAACCATTTTATACTTCAGTGCACTTTTGTGGTTAGATTTTATTACAAAGTAAATATGTTTGATGAAATTTTATTATGCTTTTTAACTAATAATTTTATTTTGTTTCTAAATTACTTACTTATTGGTTAGACATTATAAGTTTATATTCATGTTGTTTATTTATTGGTTTGATTTGGTTTTTTTGTTTTCATTATGGCATTGAATGCTTGCCACTTTTTTGTTTGGAAACCGTCCTCAGTTCCTTTGGGGAGATAAGTTACAAATAAAAATGGTTGTTGTTATTGTTGTCGTTGTTGTTTATTCGTTCAGTCACTTCCGACTCTTCATAAGCTTACCTGTCCAAACGTATCTCCTCCTATGAACCATCTAGGAGCTTAAGATTGTCTGGGGAGGCCCTGCTCTCGATTCCGCCTGCCTCACAAGCACAAGTGGCAGGGAGGAGAGACAGGGCCTTTTCAGTGGTGGCCCCCCGGCTATGGAACTCCCTCCCAGGGATATTACATCGTCCCCTCCCGCCTGACTTCCCAAAAAGGTAAAAACTCAGCTCTTTGAGCAAGCTTTTGAGAATGCAGCGGAATAGATAACATGGAACTATGAATTGATGAACATGGAATGGCTAGACGATGTTACTGGAAATGCTTTTAGCAAGATGACACCGATTATTAGATATTTTAATGATTTTTATATGTTTTGTTGATGGTTTTAAATTGCACTTTTATATTGTTATGATGATGGTTTTTAATTGCACTTTTATGGATGTAGGGCATTGAATTGTGCCAACCTGTAACCCGCCTTGAGTTGCCATAGGCGGGCTATAAATATTGTAAATAATAAATTATGACCTCATGGACCAGCCCACGCCAGAGCTCCCTGTTGGCTGTGGCCACCCCCAGCTCCTTCGAAGTGAAGCCAGTCACTTCAGGATAACATCCATCCATCTTGCCATTATTATTATTATTATTATTATTATTATTATTTAAAAGTTGGTATGTTTGTATCACTCTTGAGACCTTGGATGGCGTACCAATGCCACAATAAATGAATAAAACCCATAGCATGGCAATTAAAGGAAAATCACAGCACTGCAGTTGTGCAAAGGGCTCGCTCTTTTACAGTGTCTTTTGCACACATTCACCAATTTGCATACACTTTGGGAAGCTATGAAAACTAGCCCTGAAACAAAACCCTCCTCTGATGGGAGAGATCTAAAGGCAACTTATGCATCTACATTGTAGAATTATTACAGTTTGACACCACTTTAACTGCCATAGCTGAACTCTATGGAATCTTGGATATTTAAGATTATCTTCCAAGGAGTGCTAATGCCTCACCAAACTGCACATTTGTAGTTAAAGTGGTGTCAAACTGCATTAAATCGACAGTGTAGATCAGGTATGGGCAAACTTTGGTCCTCCCTCCAGGTGTTTTGGACTGCAACTCCCACAATTCCTAACAGCCTACCGGCTGTTAGGAATTGTGGGAGTTGCAGTCCAAAACACCTGGAGGGAGGACCAAAGTTTGCCCATACCTGGTGTAGATGAGACTTCTCTATCTGCCTCCCTGCAGCATGGGTAATGGACAACTAGCGCGGGGAGGGGAGGGGGGGAAGAGAGTGCAACCGCGCATGCGCCCTTGCCTCCACGAACGTTCCAAGCGTGCGGATTGGCCCTGACGCGCCGGACACTCACCGGCAGCCGGAATTCCAAGTTCTCCTGCGCGAGGAGCAGTAAGTACCGCGCTCGCCCTGCGCCCGGCCGTGCCATGGCCCCCGGCTCCCGGTCGGGAGAAGCACGCATGCGCGCCTGGGCTGGGAGGCTGAGCTAGGAGCAGGAGTAGCAGCGGAGGAAGTGATGAGAGCAGCCAACAGGAAAAGGGCGGATCAGCAGGAGAAGGGTAATCTTAAACTACCTGCCTAAAGAGAGGCTGTCATTATTCCATTGCAAGAAAAGAGACTGTAATGAAACCCTTGGGTTTGTTTTGCTCCAGGGAGGGGAAAAATAAGCATGGGCTGCCAGGTTTTTGTTACAGTGTGCCTTTAGGATCTGGTGCTTATGGAGGCTGGTATTTTACTTGCAGAGAGATTGTATTCCAGTTAGACTTAAGTACATAACTTAACTATGTTATACACTATACCAGGCATGTGCAAACTTGGGCCCTCCTCCAGGTGTTTTGGACTTCAACTCCCACAATTCCTAACAACCTGGGCTGGAATTGTAGGAGTTGAAGTCCAGAACACCTGGAGGAGGGCCCAAGTTTGGTCATGCCTGCACTCTAAGGCAAAGGTAAAGGTTCCCCCTTGACATTAAGTCCAGTTGTGTCCGACTCTGCAGGGTGATGCTCATCACCATTTCTAAGCTGAAGAGCTGGTGTTGTCTGCAGACACCTCCAAGGTCATGTGGCCAGCATGACTGCATGGGGCACCATTACCTTCCCACCGAAGTGGCCGAGATTACCTGTCCGAACATATCTCCTACTATGAACCACCACGAAGCTTAAGATCATCAGGAGCGGCCCTTCTCTCAATCCCACCACTGCTCTCGATCCCACCAAATGCGGTTGGTGGGGATGAGAGACAGGGCCTTCTCGGCAGCAGCCCCCCATCTGTGGAACTCTCTCCCTAAGGATATCAGGTTGGCCACCTCCCTCCTGTCCTTTAGAAGACAACTGAAGACCTGGCTCTGGGGCCAGGCATTCGATTAGAGGCCAACGGCAATAGGAAAATGAAATTTGGATTTTGCAACATGATTCTCCCGGCTCAGCTTGGTTTTACTGGCACGTTAATCTATTAATTTATTGGTAAATTTTACTGATGATATTGTACAATGTTTTAAAATGATTTTATTGTGAATTTTAATTTTTATGGTATTTAATGCTGTTATCATCCTCTGATGCTCATGTGAGGCCTCACTGAGTCCTCCTTGTGGGGAGAAGGGTGGGATATAAATAAATGAAATAAATAAATAAATAAATACCTATTGATCTGCTCATATTTGCTCATATCTGCTAGGTTGGCAGAAGCTGGGGCTAACAGCGGGAGCTCACCCCGCTCCTTGGATTCAGCAAGTTCAGCAGCTCAGCAGTTCAACTCTGTATTGACTTGAAATTGATGTTGAAACACAGTAGCTAAAAACAAATAAAGACCACTTAATGCTACACAGTTTTACTGTAGAGTCTCACTTACCCAACCTTAGCTCATCCAACATTCTGTATTACCCAACAGTCCCACCCAGACCCATAGCTGTTTCAATACATTATGATGTTTTGGTATGAAATTTGTAAATACAGTAATTACTACTTAACGTTACTGTGTATTGAACTGCTTTTTCTGTCAATTTGTCATAAAACATAACGTTTTGGTTCATAATTTGTAAAATCATAACATAGTTTGATGTTTAATAGGCTTTTCCTTAATCCTTCATTATTATCCAACATTTTCACTTATCCAACATTTTGCCGGCCCATTTATGTTGGATAAGAGAGACTCTACTGTATTTGCAAATGCGGCATGGAAATTTGTTTGTTTTTTTTACCGGTTGCCTGAGAATTTCAGTTAACTGAGAGTATACTATATTCTGAGTAAACTGAGGTCTATCTAATACTTTATTTGTGCACCTGAATTTAATAGCACATATGTAAACTGTAATTTGAACAAATTTGGGATGGTAAAATGTGTGAAATACACCATAAATCTTTGCTGCTGATAAAAGGAGGCAGTAAAACAATTTGTGGCCAATCAAGTAAAACTAATTAAATTTTTATGGTGCCCTAAGGCTTTTGTTGCCATTGGCTCAAATGACTAGTTCTGTAGAACAGCACTAGTTCTGCAAGTCACTGGCTTTGGGTCTGCAGGAAATTCCCTGGAAATAAGTTGCTGTATTCAACTGTGTTGTTTTTGTTGTTGTTGTTAAGTACATAACAAGACCAGTACACAGAAAACAAGATCGCTATGCTGGCTTTTGTATTTGATCACACATTGAACACTTCCCAAGTGTCTAGGACTGTGTGATGTATTGGCAAATAATGCATGCAGATCTGAGTAGAGTGGTCTTTTGCAACTGACAGATAGTAATTTTGTCAGTGCCCATTTTTATTATTATTATTATTATTATTATTATTATTATTATATCTATTTATATCCCTCTTTATCTCTCCTGGAGGAGACTCAGAGCAGGTTAACATAAAAACATCGGCATACAATTTAACACATATGGTTTCAGTCTCTGGCCCATTCGGTTAAAAAAAGCCTGATTGCCTTCCATTTCAACTAGCTTCAGAGCTTCTCTGTTCTGTTCTAGAAGTGTTAGTTGTTGCTTTGATACACTGCGCAGATCATATAAAACACAGGTTGGGCATCCTTTATCTGGAAATCTGAAATAATCCCAAATTATCCAGATGGGTGGCAGAGATAGTGACACCTTTGCTTTCTGATGGTTTAATGTACACCAACGTTGTTTCATGTACAAAATTATTAGAAAATATGATGGATAAAATTACCTTCAGGCTATGTGTAAATATCCACATTTCGTGTTTAGACTTGAAGTGCAACTAAATTGTAGATTTGATGCACCTTGATAGCACTTTAACTGCAGTGGCTTAATGCTATGGAATATGAGAGCCTTCTCTGCCAAAGGGTGCTGGCACCTCACCAAACTACAAATTCCGTCATCTGATAGCAGTGAACCATGCCAGTTAAAGTGGTGTGAGTTCCATCTGAACATGAGGAAGAACTTCCTGACTGTGAGAGCCATTCAGCAGTGGAACTCTCTGCCCCAGAGTGTGGTGGAGGCGCCTTCTTTGGAAGCTTTTAAACAGAGGCTGGATGGCCATCTGTCAGGGGTGCTTTGAATGCAATATTCCTGCTTCTAGGCAGGGGGTTGGACTGGATGGCCCATGAGGTCTCTTCCAACTCTATGATTCTATGATTCTGCAGTGTGGATCAGAGCTTTCCCAACTGTGTTTGGAATGTTAATGTGTCATCCGCAGTGTGCAAGTTTGTTGTGCTTATGGAACAAGAAACCTCTGAGTCTATGTGAAATATGCAATCAGTCATATGGTTTAACAAATATAAACCCCCGGTGGGCCAATGGGTTAAACCCTTGTGCTGGCAGGACTGCTGACCCAAAGGTCGGCAGTTCGAATCCAGGGACCAGGGTGAGCTCCCATCTGTCAGCTCCAGCTTCCCATGTGGGGACATGAGAGAAGCCTCCCACAGGATGGTAAAACATCCAGGCCTTATATGGGCAACATCCTTGCAGACGGCCAATTTTTTCACACCAGAAGCGACTTGTAGTTTCTCAAGTCACTCCTGATACTATATCTATCTATCTATCTATCTATCTATCTATCTATCTATCTATATATATATATATATATATACACACACACACATACATACATACATACATACATACATACATACACATATGTTGGATCATAGAATAATAGAGTTGGAAGAGACCACGTGGCTCATCTAAACCAACCCCCTACTGTACTGGAAAAGCACAATCAAAGCCCCAACAGATGGCTTTAATGGCCTCTGTTTAAAAGCTTCCAAAGAAGGAGCTTTCACCATACTCCAAGGCAGAGAGTTCCACTGCTGAACTGCTCTTACTGCCAGGAAGTTCTTCCTAATGTTCAGGTGGAATCGCCTTTCCTGTAATTCGAACCCATTGTTCCATGTCCTAGTCTGCAGGAATGCAGAAAACAAGTATGCTTCCTCTTTCTTATGACACCCTTTCAAATATTTACATATTTTGTTATTACAATTTACGTAAGTATATGTTCATATCTCTTGGTTTAACTTCCAGATTGCTAATAAGACTAAATTCCTGTTTCGCAAAATGATGTGTCTCAAAAGCATGTCCCCAGCATGAAATGTTTGTAAAGCTCTAGTGTAGATGCATTCTCTGATCCCATCTTGGTCTCAAGCATTTTGGGTAAGGGATACTCAGCCTATCTTATTTTTGTGTCCACAGCTGATTCATTTCTTTTCCTGGGATGTTACAGTCTTCTTGAGGCATGGAGGGAAGAGAAAGGTCCAGTACCAAAACAGCGAGGGCCCACCGTGGCGTCGTGGGAGAGCTGACACAGGGCTGGCAGAGCTGGTCCGACGATCACGTTGATTATCAAAAACGGAACCCATTCAGCAGCAACGAACCAGTGACACTGCGGACTGTGAAAGGCAATCCCACTTACGGGAGGCCACCAGAAGGATCGAAAACAGAGCAGAGGGGGAAAGATGCTCACACGCATATTGGCAAGGAAGTTGAGGAATTATGCTTGGTCATACGCAGCGTTGGGGAGAGAGGACAAGATGGGCGTGTGCGGATAAGCTTTAAGCACCTTTTTGACAGATATGTGACTATATCCAACAAAGTTGTAGGTGTCCTCTTGAGAGCGAGAAAGCACGGGCTAATTGACTTTGAAGGTGAAATGCTTTGGCAAGGAAGAGATGACAATGTAGTCATCACATTACTTTGAATGAATTGGGTAAACTTCATTGCATGATACTCTGGGGAACATTTTCAATACTTTTAAGTGGCAACCATGCTGGCTGGTCAACCATGCTGGCTGGTGCTATGTTAAAATGAGATACATGGTTGCTAGTTCATGCCTTTGACCCACTGAATTCTGCAGTGTCTTGAATTTACTCTATTTAGGATTAAACCTCAGCATGGTGTCTCCCCACCAATTAAGCTGTGAGTGTGTGTGAACTGAAACTAGGCAAATATGACTAATAACTGTGGCTGTGCTAGAAATATACAATGTTAGTAAATTAAAGGATTTTGAGCATATTTTTAGTCTGGTTGCTGTAAGTTTTTCAGGCTGTATGGCCGTGTTCCAGAAGCATTCTCTCCTGACATTTCACCTGCATCTAAGGCAGGCCTCCTCAGAGGTTGTGAGATCTGTTGGAAACTAGGAAAATGGGGTTTATATATCTGGATTTTAAGTCTCCTATCACTAAAAAGTCAATATATGGTGTATTTAATTGTGAAATGAGTGACACTACTCACTACAGAGTTCCTTTTTAAGTCCGCCTGGTGGTGCAGTGGGTTAATAAACTTTATTTATACCCCGCCACCATCTCCCCGATGGGGACTCGGGGCGGCTTACATGAGGCCAAGCCCTACAACACAATACAGTGGGTGAGCTCCCACTGTTAGCCCCAGCTTCTGTCAACCTAGCAGTTCGAAAACATGTAAATTAATAGGTGCCGCTTTGGCGGGAAGTAACAGCGCTCCATGTAATCATGCCGGCCACATGACATTGGAGGTGTTTACGGACAACGCCGGTTCTTTGGCTTAGAAATGGAGATGAGCACCACCCCTCAGAGTCAGACATGATTAGCCTTAATGTCAGGGGAAACCTTTACTAGTGTCATAAAATACACAAGAGAAATGTGAGACTATTTTTAAAATTTGCTAGTTTTGTATTAAACACATTACAGTGCTGCTCATCTATGTATCCGGCTCATACATCCCCTTCTGGAGCTACAAAAACAAATAACAATTTTCACAGTCAGTAGTTGCTTTTTTTTTTTGAGTCTCCTTTGGCAGAGAAAAGCTGTGTATAAATACTACTGCTACTAATATAGTAGATACAAGAATATTCAAAGGTTTAGAACAAACTATTGTTTATTCAAGTTTTCATTTTCATGACACTATTGATCTGGCTATTACATTTCCAGTTTCATTTCATTAACTCACAACTGCAATGAACACTTTACATACTGTAACACATTTAATTTAACATTTCAACATGGTCGGTTACCTTGCCCACCCTCACAACAGTCAAGAGTCCAGGCTCAAGTATCAAAATAAACACATGCTAAATCTACAATAAATTAATTTAAACTCTTAATGCCTTACAGACAAGAACAAAACCTCACATTACTACAATCGTATAAACTGAAAAGTATGAAATGTATGGTGAAAAACACAGTCTAAATAACTGTGTGCTATATTTCACTTTTCCTTATAAAACCTAGATGAATTTGAGATGCCTGCATAACAATATACTGAGAAAATAGCAGATAATTAAAGATGCAGTGTATATATTCATGCAGACTCTCAAAACATTCCCAATTTTTGACATTCTTGGTTTTCATTTGTGGGTGTTGCTAAGATTTAATAACTCGAGATCTTCTTGTACGACAAATTTCCACAGCAAAAATGCTTAAACTTTCTATTAATGTTTAGGTGAATATTAGTTCAACCATTAACACCTTTTATAAACTGTTCATCTATCTTTAGAGGCTGTTCACCCAAAAATTATCTATTTACTTCAATTCACATATGTAGTCTTAAGTACATGCATTTAATTATCAACTTTACTTACACAGTTCACATTCACAAACAGTTTTGATCTACACTGACAAACATGTAATGCCTCCAATTAGAAGTACAGGTTTCAGTCATATTGTGGGCACAATGGGTTGTTGTTAACTGCACTTGTTGTGTTGTACAGCTAAATACGTTTGAGTGAGAACTGATTTAGCACCAAGACATCACAACTGCCCCAGCTTTGTAATGCCAAAGAACATAAGAGGCACAAAACCTTGCATAATTTAGACACTCAGACCCAGATATGAAACCTTACTATCATTATTTACAAGATGTATTAATACCTGCTTTTGAAAGAGAATAGGTACTTTTCACTTTTTGATCTGGAAGCTCTGGAAAGTGCTAAGTTCTTGCATTCAAATATTTGCCTGAGAAATTTAGTATATGGAATTGAATTAACAATGAGTTCAACCACTGTCTAGCAGCAAATTCAGTACTCGTTTTCAAAACGTTTGCTTTGACACCAATTACATCCAATCTTGTACTATTCATTAGTCACAAACACATCTGATCCTAGGGCAAGCTTTTTTCAACTTGTAGCACCCTCGGTAGTCAGCCGTTCCATCAGTTGCTCGGCCTGTTAAAAAAAGAAAATGAAGGCAATGCATTACTATTTTCCGAAACTTTCCTTCTCTTTTATTACTTTAAAAGCATGAAGCCTAAATCAAGTTTCATGGCCCAAATCCAAATTTGTGAGTAGTGTTACTGTTCTTCTGTTTAAATTCTAGATGCATTTGTTGGAACAATTCAGACAGATCGATTTAGAAAGCAAGAGTAGTAATGTAACATCTCAGTTCCTTCATTCATTCACCACGTGGCTCTACAGGATCCAAATCCATGCAATTAGGAAAAAATAGAATTATTTCTATTTTGATCTGTTAAGTAGATAAGTAGATATCAAGCAAAGATTTCGAAACATGGATATTGTTGGGCAAGTGGGCTTACTACAAAAGATCCTCCTCATAAATGTACAGCAGAGTAACTTATCAGCAACAGCGTGACCCAGCACCAGTAACCCAAAGAGATAAAAAGAAAAGAAGCACACAGACCAATGTTATATCTTCTCTAGGAGGTTTTTCTTTATAGCAAAATGATATGCCTGCACTATTTACAAAAACAAGGTTTCCATGACACAGATAAAATTCAACCTTCACACTAGAGCTTCACACACAAGGCCTTCTCATACCAAGGCTTCCCTCACAGAGAGGCTTCTCTCACAGACTCAAGACCTACTTCACACTGTGAGGCCTTCTCACAGACTAAGGCCTACCTCACACTGTGAGGCTTTCTCTAACAGACTAAGGCCCACTTCACACTGTGAGGTCATCTCTAACAGACTAAGGCCTACCTCACACTGTGAGGCCTTCTCTAACAGACTAAGACCCATTTCTCACTGTGAGGCCTTCTCTAACAGATTAAGGCCTACCCCATACTGTGAGGCTTCTCTAACAGACTAAGACTTCTCTCCCACTGAGGCAAACTAACACAGAGGCCTATTAAGCTACAGGCACACCTGCTTAAATAGTACTGAAGCTTTTGCTGATTAACTGAATCCATTTAACCCTTTCAGTACTTGACTCACATTTTTGTAATTTAAAATACCTAGTTAATTTTTAAATATTTCTGACAGATATGTAGATCTTCCACCTCTCTGGACCAAACTTCATGGGTTGGATTCAACATTGTAAGATTGCTCTAAAAGGAATCTCTCAGGATGCTCCAATCAATGGAAAGGGTGGGGTGTTTCTCACAGCACTATTTTCTATGCTATCGCCTATTGTTCACAGCAGTTGGTGAGGCACAAGAAGGCTTGCAAGAACCAAATTATGAAATACTTACTGTGATAAACCAGTAGGAATTGATTCTGTATATCATACGAGACAAGAATCCCAACTGACTAGCTGGAGCCAGCACATGAAGATGCAAGTGGGCTATTGAGCAGAATGGAGGCCAGTGGAAACCCATCCTTGAAAAACAAAATAAAAAAAGAAAGAAATCAAAACCTGCTACCCAGAGGTTGGAAACAACATTAAGCAGCAAGCAAGTATTAGGATAAAATCCAGTTCTTAATCCCAACTAAAGTAGATTAGTTTAATCAATACGAACTTGATACATTTCATTAATGAAACCCTACCATATTTATTCCCTACCATCCAACAATCTGATGTAAGTACTGGACACAGCATGCTAAATGGTGCAGAATGATTTAATAAAACAGTCATCTATGATAGGGATGACAGCAAAATCTAAAAATTATATTCCTTTATGCTTTAATATTACTGCAAGCCACTGATACATAGAATCATTTCATGACTGGAAAGAAACAGAGTAATGATGCAGGACAAAAGCAGGGCAAGTACTTAGGATATTTACTTTAGACACATCCATATTTCCAAATATATTTCATAAAGTTGATGTCGATAAATGCGTATTCATTCACAGCTAAATCAGTAACCTCTTCAGCCCACTGAATCATAAATGGTACATATCTAGATCAGAGCTTTCCAAACTGTGTGACACTAACATGCCAGCTGCAGTGCGGAGGTGTGTCACACGGACATAACAACAAACCTCTGAGTCTATGTGGAATAAACAATATATTATCTATTTTTAGAAATATAAATGAAAGGTTTTCATGTGATATGTTGTGCTCCCATACATTTTGTTATTACAATTTATTAATGTCTCGGTATATCTTATAAGGGGTATTCAGCCAGCCCCATTTTTCCCTATGTTTTTGTTTTATATTGTATGTTTTTGTATTATTTTGCATATGTGGAAACTGCTCTGAGTCCCCATGGGGAGATAGGGCGGTATACAAATAAAGTTGTTGTTGTTGTTGTTGTTGTTGTTGTTGTTAAGAGGTTTGCTAGTATTACTGTGTTGTGAAATGATGCATGCCTAAAAAGTGTGTCACCAACTTAAAATGTTTGGCAAGCTCTGCTCTAGATTGTCCTACAGTTCGTTAGCCCCATACAATATGGCTAATGGCAGTGGGTTATGGAAACTATTAAAAAAAAACAGTGCAAAGATTCCTGATCTGTGCTCTATCAACCGAAAGACTAAGCAGAATTTGTTTTTCCTGCTATTGATGGTCATTTCCTCCCCATCTGCATTAATACTGGGAAGTACTGGTTGTCTTTGCTTTTGGCGGCTTCAGATGCTCTAGTGTTGTGGTTTCCAGCCTTTGGTCCTTGAGGTGTTTTGTACTTCAGCTCCCAGAATTCCTAACTATTGGCCAAGATGGCTGGGGATTCTGGGCACTGAAGTCCCAAATGCTTGGGAGGAACACAGTTAGGGAACTACTGCAGAAGGACACCATAACAGTCGAGATGACCAGATGTGTATATTTTTCCAACAAAATGTTTTTAATGCTGTTTTGAGCGAGGCTTAAAATCTCTCTAGGATTTAAAATATTGAAGCATTTTTGTGTGTGTAATTATTTAATTCTAAATTCAAAGAGCTCCCATAACAAAACCATATTACAGTACATGGACTTCCTTACTGACCATTTAGCACTGTTGGAAAATAGTTTATTATATACTTTCCTTTCTGGGACTATACCTTATATCATTCAAGTCAGTAAATTTGTTCCGTTGAAGGATAGCCTTTCCAGCTGCCATCATTCTTTCCACTGTCAGAGAAGCAAAAATAAAATCTGATTTAATCCCAATGCATCATTATGGTCCACCATATCAGCCCTGAAACCATTTATACTGATCCAAATCCTATTGATTTCAGTGGGATTTATTCCAACATGACTTTGAAAGGAGTTGTTCTTAACAATAAGACATTTAATACATGCCTTGGAAAAAATAGTTTTCAAATAACTAGTTAACTGTAATTAGTTCCTTATTATGGCATAGATATATTACACGACAACAACAAGGGAGAAAGCCACTTCTTTTGAAGTGTAACGATAACTTTTTCTTTACTTTAAGATGTTCCTACTGCACAGTTGTTATACTGAAAAACAAAAAAAAAATGATGGGAAGAGTGTCCAGAAGCTGGTAGCATTCACATTTTAGTGACTTTTGAAAAATGGGTACCTTCCAGCAGATGTGGATCTCCAAGCAAGAATACGAAGAAGGAGGCAAGCAATGTCTGGAAAGAAAATGCCCATAAATCTTGTACTGCAGTAGTTTGCCTTCCCTAATTCTTCTAATATTTGCTAGCTTTAGTATACTCAGGAATTGAAGAAAGTGGGTTGCTGTGAGTTTTCCAGGCTGTATGGCCATGTTCCAGACGCATTATCTCCTGCCATTTCACCCATAGCAGAGCACTTGATGAACCAACCTGGACACAGCATATTATTGGAGAACATAGAAATGCTGGACCAATCTAACAATCACCATGTCAGACTACACAGAGAAACCATTGAAATCCACAAGCATGTGGATAATTTCAACAGAAAGGAGGAAACCATGAAAATGAACAAAATCAGGTTTCCAGTATTAAAAAACCTCTAAAATCAGGACAGTAAACAAAGAACAATACTAAAAAACAGGGGAATTCCAGACAAGAAACAATCAGGGGCAGCTAATCACCTCCCAACAAAGGATTCCGCCAGGCAGGAAGCAACCAAGCTTTGAAGCTGCAAGGTTATTCAATGCTAATCAAGGTGATCAATTGCAACATTCACACATGCCAGACAAGAGTTCTTTCTCCCACCCAAGACATTCCACTTGCCTTGTTTCCAACAAACTTCATAACTTTCGAGGATGCCTGCTATAGAATAGATGTGGTTGAAATGTCAGGAGAGAATGCTTCTGGAACATGGCCCAGAAAACTCACAGTAACCCAGTGATGCGGGCCATGAAAGCCTTTGACAACATAGAGGAAAAATCATAGGGGCCTGAAGTTGAATGATATCTGGTGATTCCAAAATGTTTACCCTTGATGTAAGTTAAATATAACCCTTCTGATTTAGGTTGTGCTCTTTGTTTTTGAGAGGGGGGGGGCATCTAGAATTTCCTTCGGTTTTTATTTTTGTAAGAGGCAAAGCATGCTAAAGGAGGTCTGTTTTTCCTATCACGGAAAGGGATTCATCCTGCTATTTTCAGGGTGGGGCAGATGAAACTGGTTTCTCATCCAAAGCAACTGATGCAGAGCCTCTCATACCCTTTGATGTCATCCAGCCCAATGTTTTCCCACTTCTATTTGTAACGCAAGAAAGATCAACTTGAATGCCAGCCACACATGCAGGTGAAACATCAGGAGAAAATGCTGCTAGAACACGGCTATGCAGCCCGGAAACCCACAGCACCCCAGTGATTCTGGCCATGAAAGCCTTTGACAAAACAATTTGGAAATGAGTGGCCAGTGCTCTTTGAGACTTCCCAAGCAATTAAGGGTTGTGGTGAAGTGCGCCAGTCCACTTACCTAATGGTATATGTTCGCTCTTTAGAGTCTTGCAATTTCCTATGTGGTTTTTTGGCACCACTAAATAATGGTGCGGAGCTCCAGGTCTGATGTCTCTAAAGCACACCAAGTCTTCATGCTAATGGAACGGAGAGAGAAGAAGAACATGTTATGGAAATGGCCTGATAAACAAAAACAGTTTTCCTGGTGCCCATTAGAAATAATCCTACATAACACTGATGTGAAAAAAATCAGAGCATCTAACAGTTCCCAGCTCTACTGAAAAGAAAAGGAATAGAAGTTTGGAACGATTGCCCCTGGGATTTGTAGGGAGCGTGAAAGCATGGCCCAGGAGGTTGGAATAGAAATAATGTGTACTCTAGTTTTTTTCTACAGCCATCATGTATTGCTTTCAATGTACTTTATATGTGATCTCGTAAATATCAGTGTTTTTACCAAGTTTTCATGTCACATTCACATGAAAATGAATATTCAGAAATTAAATAAAAAGCAGTGTTCTTGCAACAGAAGGTAAATGATATAATGAAAAAGCCAAAGCCATTTACATCCCAACAATTCATTCTATTCCTTTAAATGCTGTTTAAAGGGACATGTGAGCAAACATGCTCAGCTTCCATGATTTTCTATGGACTTCCAAACAGTTCTAGCCCATGGATCCAAACAGAATAGACCCTCCAGAGCAACAGGAGTTTGGTAAAGCCAGTGCTTATAAATGCTCTGCTGTTTCCACATGTTTACTTGGAATTCACGTTTTTATTTAGGTCATTTCCCTCCCAGTGGAACTGATCCTCTTGTCTTCAGCTTTAGTATATCCCAGCTGAATGAGAAGTTACATGTTAAGGATAAATCCTCAAACAAATCTGGACTGAGACTGAAATCGAAGGCTAGAGTTGTAAAGCTATTGTCTCTTACCTGGTAGACATGCGATCAAATTTATTTCTCCCTAAATAACAATAGGTAAAGGTTTCCCTTGACATTAAGTCTAGTCATGCCCAACACTGGGAGTTGGTGCTCATCTCCATTTCTAAGCCAAAGAGCCAGCATTATCCACAGATGCCTCCAAGGTCATGTGGCCAGCATGACTGCATGGAGAGCCGTTACCTTCCCAACACTTTCACTTTTCCATGTTTTCAAACTGCTAGGTTGGCAGAAGCTGAGGCTAACAGCAGGAGCTCACCCCGCTCCCCAGATCTGAACTGCCGACCTTTCAGTCAGCAAGTTCAGCAGTTTAACCCACTGTGCCAGCAGGGGCTTCAATAGCAATAGCAAGATTCAAAGTGTGGCCCTGGGGTAGGATACAATTCCTGTCCCGCCAATGTTGTTTTTGAAGCCAACAAATCCTTCAGTTTTCCAATTTGGTCTTTTGTGACAAGAAGAGCAAAACTGCCTTCTTTTAAAAAAAGAAGGCAAGAGGAACAGTGAAATACTTGTTAAATAGGTCAGAGGACCATGCTGTACTGTTTACTATTTTGAAAAACCAGTTTTCCAAACAAGAGCAGACCAGTTGCTACATCTGATTTGGTTTTTCCTCTCTTGTGTTTTTGGCAGTCTATAATGGCCCCCAGAGGATAGAACACTGGCCTCTGGACTGCCAAATGCATTTAAAGCTTCTCAGACATTGTGATAATATCATCAGGCATGTCTATTCCAGTGGTCTATCTCCACAAGTGCATCTCCGCTGCAGAATTTAAAAGAACTATGGACATTATAGTTTTGTAAGATTTTTAACCTTCTCTGCCAAAGAGGCCTGGCGCCACACGAAAATGAAACTCCCATGAGCAGTTAAAGTGGTGTCAAACTGCATTAACTCTGCAACATAGATGCACCCCACCTCAAAACACATGTTGGTCCCTTTGCCACCTCTTATCTGTAGCACTGTATTTTTTAAGACTTGGCCAATTGCTTTAAAAGGGAACCTCACAGAGGTATATACAAGATTGAACTATGAATAACTGTAGCTACAAAGATTGAACACAATTTCCGACTTCTGAGGTTATTGCTGGGAAGGAGGAAAGCAAAGGAGATTGCCGCTCTCAAAAGAAGGGGGAATTAGCGTACAGTTGGGCACAAATTCAACAGATGTGCATTTGGGAAAATGGGTCAAAATATGTTTTGCACTGGAATAAAAATGTGTAACAACCCCAGCATGCTGTTGTCTATGCTTTAATACATTTCAAACATGATGATGAGCCTGATAAAATCACATAGTGTTTGAGAGGCACACTTTACGATCAAACAAATGGTTAATGAGATGACTCGTTGCTGAACCAAGATTCATAATAAGTACAGGTAGTGTATCCTTTATTCAAAATGCTTGGAACCAGAAGTGCACTCGCTGTGTTCTGGCACCATGAGATGCAGAGTCAATCTTAAGAAACGGGGCTACACAGTGGAGTCTACGATATGTGAGCGTGGAGAAGATCAAACCACAGACCACTTACAACAGTGCAGCCATGGCACACGCACAATGGAGGACCTTCTCACAGCCACGCCAGAGGTACTCCAAGGGGTTAGTTTTTGATCAAAGGACATTTAGTACAATACCAAGTTTTTAACTTTGCTTGTGGTTTTTTAAATACATTACAGCTGTATTCTCAATTTGCTTCTGAGACGATAGATAAATAAATAAGGATGTATGCATTTCGGAGGACAGAGTAGCAAGTATCTATCTATGCAACTAACTATATCTACCTACCTACCTACCTACCTACCTACCTATACTCATCACTATATAAAGATACTAGCTGTCCCCTGCCACGCATTGCTGTGGCCCAGTCTGGTGATCAGGAAAATAGAGTAATGAGAAAGTGTTGGTTTCTACTTCTGTTGGTCATGGGGAGGTAGGACGTGTGGGAAGTGTGGCCAAAAATTATATCATTTGGGGGGGGAAGAAAGTTCTTCGTTGATTGGAGTTGGTAGATGCTATTATTTATTTTTGTCTAGGGGAGCAAGGCGTTCGGGGCGTTCGACGCTTACCGGTGAATGAGAAGGGCATGTCTGTGCTCGCCGAGTGAGGACGTTGCCCAGGGGACGCCCAGATGATTTGATGTTTTATCATCCTTGTGGGAGGCTTCTCTCATGTCCCCGCATGAGGAGCTGGAGCTGATAGAGGGAGCTCATCCGCCTCTCCCTGGATTCGAACCTGTGACCTGTTGGTCTTCAGTCCTGCCGGCTCAGGGGTTTAACCCACTGCGCTACCGGGGGCTCCTAGGTGATCTATAAATCCCATTAACTACAACTCCCAAATGTCAAGGTCTATTTTCCCCAAACTCCACCTGTGTTTGTATTAGGGCATATGGAGATTTCGTGCCAAGTTTGGTCCAGATCTATCATTGTTTGAGTCCACAGTGCTCTCTGGATGTAGGTGAACTACAACTCCAAAACTCAAGGTCAATGCCCACCAAACCTTTCTAGTGTTTTCAGTTGGTCATGGGAATCCTGTGTGCCAAGTTTGGTTCAATTCCATCGTTGATGGAGGTCAGAATACTCTTTGATTGTAGGTTAACTATAAATCCCAGCAACTACAACTCCCAAATGACAAAATCATTTTTTTTTAGTGATGGTCACTCCTTGGGTTAGTAGGTGTCATGTGACCAAATTTGGTGGCAATTCGTCCAGTGGATTGTGAGTTATGGTGTCACTCAAAACGAACAGTGCGTCCACACTGTACATTTGATGCACTTTGGTGGCTGAGGGCAAAGGGTTCCTGGGAGTGGACGTTTGGGGAGGATGATAAAACTCCCCAGGATTCCACAGCATTGAGCCACGGCAGTTAAACTGCATTAATTGAGCAGTGTAGACGTATTGCAAGCCCTTGAATGGGGAGGGGGAGGAACGCAGCCTGGACTCTTTCGGAGACGCGTATTCCTGCATATTTATTTACTCATCTCTGTTTAGAGGGGGGAAGATGAATCTCACCTCGCAGGGCAGGAGCTCGGTGCCGCCCTCCTCCCCGTGGCTGATCCGGCAGAAGACGCACTTGCCGTCGTAGCCGCTGCTCCCTCCGCCGCCTTCTCCCCCCGCCGCGCCCCCGGGACTGGGCTGGGCGGCCGGGGACGAGCCCGAGCTGCCTCCTTCTTCGCCCGCCATGGAGGAAGGAAGGAAGGCAGGAAAGGGAAAGGAAACCCGCACGGGCCGCCCAACGCGCAGCAGAGCGCGCCCCGCCCTTGCGGCCCTTTGCCGGCAGCGACCCCTAGCGGCGGAAAGGAGAAGGGCGCCCAGGCGGCCAAGTCTTTCCCCGCTGCTGATGATTCATCAGGTGCTTCTATGTCTAAGCTGCAGAGAGAATGGATGCAGTTTGACCCCGCTCTTTTCACCGCCAGGGCTCAATGCTATGCAATCCTGGGAGTGGTAGCTTGGCGAGGCACCAGCTCTCAATGCGCCTCCCGCAAACAAATCCAAAATCATGTGTTCAAAATAATCCAAAATCATGTCTTCTTGGCCAGAGAAGATGCTATAAAACAGGTATGGGCAAACCCAGGCCCGAGAGCCAGATGCGGCCCCTTGGGCTCTTTACTTATGCCCTCCTCTCTCTCACCATCCTGTCCTTCCTTCCTTCTCTCTTTCCTTCCTCCTTCCCTCCCCTCCCCCCCATTCCCTTCCACTCTTTTATTCTTCCTTCTTTCTTCTCTTTCCTCCCTGCCCTTTCTCCATTCCCTTCCTTCTTTCTTTTTCCTTCTTTCCTCCCTCCCTTCCACTCTTTCATTCTTCCTTCCCTCTCCCCTCCCTCCTTCCCTCTTCTTCCTTCTTTTCTTCCTTTTTGTCTTCCCTTTCTTCTCTCTTTACTTTCTCCCTCCTTCCCCTCCATTCTTTCATCCTTCCTTCCTTCCCTCTTCCCTACCTCCTCCCCTCTTTCTTCTTCCTGCTTTCCTTCCTTTTTGTCTTCCCTTTCTTCTCTCTTCCCTCCCTTTCTCCATTCCCTTCCTTCCTTCGCTTCCTTTCTTTTTCCTTCTTCCCTCCCTCCCTCCTTCACTTCCACTCTTTCATCCTTCCTTCCCTCTTCCTTCCCTTCTTCCCTCTTCTTCCTTCTTTCCTTCCTTTTTGGCTTCCCTTTCTTCTCTCTTTACTCCCTCCCTCCCTCCCTCCCTTTCYCCATTCCCTTCCATCCTTCTCTTCCTTCTTTATTTTTCCTCYCTCCTTCCCTTCCAGACTTTTCTCACTCCTTCCCTCTCTTTCTTCTTCCTTCTTTCCTTCCCTTTTGTCTTTCCTTCCTTCTCTTTCCTCCCTTCCTGCATTCCCTTTCACCCTTCCTTCCTTCCATTGTTCTTTTCCTCCCTTCTCTTTTTCTTTCCTCCTGGGGGATGTTTAGCTTGGAGAAAAGAAGGTAGAGAGGGAACATGAGAACCATGTTGCAAGTCTGAGGAGGAGGGGAAAAACTGAGTGAGAAAGGTGGGGTCCAAATATGGCAAATAAATAAATACATAAATATCTAATTCAAAATGTGAACAATAATAAAGTATGCAATGAGATTTGATTTTATCGCACTGCTGTAGCCTGTTTACAGTCAAAGCAGGGTCTGGAAACTTTCCTATGACTGCACCACAACATTAACAGGCTTTTGGAAGTGGTTCTTGATACGGTGTTGAAATTAAGCCTCCCAAGCTCTGTATAGATTTCTTTTTAAGTCAGATAAAAAATTTTACTAGACTGTTTTCTTATTTAAATGCTTTGAGCAACTGTACTTAATGCTTAATGTACAGTGCCTTATTACATGAGCAAGGGACATGCCTAAATCTCTGCTTCCGACCCAGAAATATTAGGGCGTGTGCCAATGTTCCTGTAGTCTGAAAATGAATCATAGGAGTTGTAGTCCTAAAATAAAAGAGCATCTGCTCCGGTTTTTAGAAAAAGAGCTCCTTCCTCAATTCTGTGTATGAGAAACAGAGATAAGACCTACGTTTGGCTGCTGCTCAAGCAAGCCAGGGTCAGCGTGAGGGAAATGAAGTTTCAGTAAAGTTTCCATCTTAGCTGTTTGCGTGCATAGAGAACCAATTAGAATATAACGAGCTAAGAATAAGCCAGTAAAAAAAAGACAAAGTGTGAAACCAATCAAAAGTGTGTTGTTTGATCCAGTGTAAAAATATAAAAGACCGTGGCCCCATTTTTGAGCGTGGCAGTTCTTTAATGCTTCAAGCTAGCTGGAGCGGGAGGAAAATTCTGAGAGTGCCTTGGACCGCAAGAAGATCCAACCAGTCCATACTTTAGGAAATAATGCCCGACTGTTCGTTGGAGTGAAGGATATTAGAAGCAAAGATGAAGTACCTTGGCCATCATGAGAAGACAGGAAAGCTTGGAGAAGACAGTAATGCTGGGGAAAATGGAAGGAAAAAGAAAAGGGGCCGACCAAGGACAAGATGGATGGATGGTATCCATGAAGTGACTGGCTTGACTCTGAAGCTGGGGGTGGTGATGGCCAACAGGGAGCTCTGACGTGTGCTGGTCCATGAGGTCACAAAGAGTTGGAAGCGACTAAATGAATAAACAACAAAAGCTGTTGCAATTTGCTTTGCCAGCAAATAGAGCCTTCTTCACTTGACTCAACTCGTCTGTACATCCATCCCTGCGCTGCTCCCTTGAGAGCAGAAGTGAAGGAAACCTCTGAGAGCATGCAGAGTGCCTCCTTCACTCCAATCTGGCAACCACAGATATAATGTCACAAGGTTCATGGAAGGCAGCACAGACAAAAAGAGAGAAAGAAATTGAAGGAACAGGAGACCTTTAGATGCTGCAGATGGTAGAACTCAATACAGATGTATCAGGATATAAGTAAAGAAACTAGACAGGTGAGATGGAGTTTTCATGTATACAACTGAAGCATTAAAAAAAACCCCACCTAAACATATGAATGCATAAATTTCTTTATTGAAAATGTTGCAATAGCACTGCATTACATATATTAAATATCCATAGTTTTTGAAGGGTCACAGAAATTTGATAGGACAACACTGTTTTAGACACAGGACACAAATGTTGCAAATATGCTCTGACAAATATAATAGGATGGAATCATATGTCAACTATCAAAAACCTTCTGCTTGGGACTCACATGTGTCCCCACCACCCATAAAACGATCTTTCAGAGATTCTTGGAGTGTCTTCCAAATGCAATTATAACAGCAGATCATTGTTATAAGGAAAGTTTGTCATGAGCAGCACTGCTGGTCGTATTATATAGTGAAAAGCGGAGTGAAAAGCTTAGGTGTTGGGCCCTAGTTCTGTTTTACCCTTTAGACATTTGTCTATAAGTCACATAGTAATAATTTGTCTTTATACCCTGGCATACACAAGTTCATTATGACCTAAATATTCTAAAGGCACCAGATCCAGTCCGATCTTGAAAGCTAAGTACAGTCAGCCTTGGTTAGTACTTGGATGGGAGACCACCAACAAGTATCAGGTGCTGTGAGCTCTTAGTTCAAAGGGAGGAACCAGGAAAACCACCTCGGAGCATTCCTTGTCTAAGAAAGTCCTATAAAATTCATGGGATCACCATAAGTCAACAGGCGACTTGAAGGCACATGCATACACACACAGGCTCTTCTTCTGTAGAAAATTATGTATGTTCCTTCTCTGTGTAACACTATGTGAGAATAATAGAAAGAAATTCCTTGTTATTGTTATATTCATGCTTGTAGCAGATGCCGGCATGTCTCCAATAGGATCATTGGACTCCAAAACAAATGTATGTGTGTTTGCTCCATGGGGTTATATGCACCAAAGTTTGTCAACAACTTTAGTATCACCATATCCCCACTGAACAGAATACGTAACTTGGAACTGGAACTGGTATGTAGCCAAATAGGGTGTATATTTGTCACACACATGTACACACATGCACCCCATTATCCATGCCTATGGCACAAAAGTATAAAGGAAGCCTATGCAACTGTATGTACATAGACCTCTCCTACAGAAATACAGATGTTCTGTAGAGGCTAGGTAGATTATGCCAAACACATCACATATTCAAGGACGGGTAATATGAACACATGTATTCAGTTGCTAACTTATTTTCAAAGGGGAGCTACTAAGTCTCCTTTTGTTTATATATATAACTATATATATATATATCTCCCAACCTGGGTGCAGCTGATAAAGCAACATCACACAGAGAAGGAAAGAGCTGAAACATCATTTGTTAGTAGGTCAAATCATTCTTCTGGTTTGAGTCAAGCTGGTTCTGGGTATTTCCATGTCAATTGGAAAATAAACTCATCATGAATGGGACACATGACCAGAAAGAACCATGTTATTATGTCATACTGTAGTCTAGATTAGGATAGATGCCTGGTAGAAGTGCCTGGTAAATGCAGGGATGTAGTTGTTTGTTTTTGGACTATCACTCTTACATAATCTCATATCATTGACTAAACTGGCTACAAAATCATAAGATATCTGGCTGGTCACCCTATGTACTAAAGAGTGACATATACAGATTGACTGATACTTTTTAAGAAATATAGACACATATTTAAAAAAAATCAATTTACTCTCAATTTGTTTTGCTTAAACAATTGCCAAGGATCAAAATGCTATGACAATATTATCAGGTTTTGGAAACAGATTATATTACCTTTACCACTCTTTTTCTAACCAATCTATTTTTATGAAAGAAAAATACTCTAAAACCATTTTTTCCCAATTCATATACAACATTTAACATTTTTAATGTATCAAATTGAAGTTGAACCCTGGATTCTTGTGTACTGCATCTTTGAATGAAATAAACACTCGGCTGTATGAACATATCATTTAAAATGTTTCTTTTCCGTATCAGAAATAAAAGTAATCTATTTTACAAAATAAGCAGAAATCAGGCAATGGTTTAAGATCATATTCAAGAATAAGACTATTCCATCCCCTTTGAAAGGGATAAATCTAATCAGCACAGCAAGGAGTTTCAAGTAATTTGTAGAAAGCAATTAAAATTAAGTTTTCTAACCTACAAGAGTATGGCCTTTTCTGAAATTCCTTCTTATCTTGTTCATCTGTTGTTGTTTTTTATCATGTCAGAAATGACTTGAAAATTGCAACTCACTCCTGGTGTGAGAGAATTGGCCATCTGGAGAGATGGTGCTCAGGGGACGCCCAGATGTATTACCATCCTGTGGGAGGCATCTCTCATGTCCTCGCATGGGAAGCTGGAGCTGACAGACAGGAGTTCACCCCATCTCGCGGATTCGAACCACCAACCTTCAGGTCAGCAGTTCAGTTGGCACAAGGGTTTAACCCATTGATCCACGGCTCCTGTGTTTACCTGGGTTTTTTTTTTTGTCCACCAATTAAAAACTGGATCTCTCTTCTAACATTTCCACACAACCAACAAGATATGTTTGATAATGGGAGCTGTCAATGCGCCTATCTCAAACCATGTGTTCAGTCAAAACCTAAGATCCCAAAAATAATTACAAAAAGCAACAAAGATGTCTCTTTTACAAAATTAAAAAAACAAAAACAATATTTTTAAAAACCTAAGAAATCAAAACTATTTGCCACTGTGTTGACATCTGCTTCAAAATCGATATAGCTTTCTTGCAAATGCTGACATTTGAAATATTAAAAAGAAAAACATGCCTAATACATTTTAGGAAAAAAGTACTATACAAGCAATAAATATATTCCTTTAAAAAAAGCTCCCTTTAAGTGCTGGAAATGACCATTACTTTGTGCTGCAAGATTTGGTAACACAATCTTTCCCTCTTTTTGGTTTCCACTCTCACGGAATAAAAATACATATGGAATGTACTACACGCCTCTATGATTTTTCCACAGAATTCTTTCACAGTTACAGAAAATAATAAGACAGCTTTTAACAAACCTGTATGTTACAAATGCCTTCCACAAACACCTTCCTACCATGGTGTAGGAACACTAGCTGAGCAGGAAAAAGACATGAGTTATGTCCCATTTTTGCCTTAATCTTCTTGGATTATTAGTCTGCCTGAGTCCAGGGGTCGAAAAGCTTGTTCTGTCGTGAGGCAGCCTACATTCCAATTTTCAACATCTACTGAGAGCTCAGTAAATTCAAGTTCGACTTTTTAAGGCAGGAACTTCATCACTCAAATGTCCAGACTTCCACATCCTGGATGACAAAGTCTTCTTTTTTGGACAAAATGTCATTATTGAATGTGCTGCAACAGTTGCTCCGACCATGGTATAAATCAGCATCTAACCATAAGCCAAACCTACCACTGAAAAGAGAAGGAAATCATTTGAAATATTTTCAGTTTTTAAAAAATTGCACAGTCTCGTAAGAATAATGCATTTTTATACTTGGTTTTCAACTAGAAATATATTTTCCCTCCACTGATATAAGGAAGTTTTAAGAACTTTTGCAGGACTGCGAAGTTTGTTTTCAAAAGATAGCATTTTTTTTAAAAAAAAATGAATTATAGGTGGCAGTACACTGTTGGCTAGGTAAAGGTAAAGATTTCCCCTGACATTAAGTCTAATTGTGTCCAACTTGGGCGGTTGGTGCTCATCTTCATTTGTAAGCCAAAGGAGCCAGCATTGTCCGTAGATGCATCCAAGGTCATGTGGCCAACATGACTACACAGAGCACTGTTACCTTCCAGCAGAAACTGTACCTATTGGTCTACTCACATTTGTATATTTTCAAACTGCTAGGTTGGCAGAAGCTGGGGCCAACAGCGCAAGCTCACCCCGCTCCACGGATTCAAACCACCAACCTTTCAGTCAGCAATTTCAGCAGCTCAGCAGTTTAATCTGCTGTGCCATCGGGGCCACAAAATGCAATAAATAAAGAAGATTCTCCCTCATCCAACAGGAAAGCTAAATACCTGTTGCCTCAATAATATTTTATTTAAAATGTATGAACATCAAAACAGAGAAAATAGGAAGCATGCCTCACTACCTGTGTCACCAGGAGATCCCTAACACTGTTGGCTAGGAGTAGAATATTATGTACACAAAGCTATCAAAACGTATCAAATCACTTTGCTACAGGACTTGGAAAATTGCATTTAATAGAAAAAGAATGCATCTCCTAAGCACACTTTTTTTCGATACCTGTAAAAATGATGAATTTGGTACCTTTTGGAAATAAGCTCCACAATTATGCCTGCTAATTTTTAACCATAAACAGATGTTCACTGAAAACAGTTTAAACTGGGATGAGTAAACATTCAAACAATGACCTTTATATTCAGATATACAGAAGCACAACAGTAGGCTGCACAGATGGTTTTGATCGCAATCTAGTTAGGCAAATGCATTTCATTTTCTAAAAAGGTTTATTGACTTGTGTTGTCTAACTGATAGAGCTGTTTCTTTGTCCACAATCCAAAGTACATGCACATGCAAAAACTACCCCATAAGCGGACAATATGGTTTGTTACTGCAGTAGTTCAAACCATTTGAAGAGACAAAGTTACTTTAATAATGAATTGTATTTTGCTTCGTTGATAATGGAAGATGCTGTACACATCATTTGCAATATTATAAATAGGTCAGGAAAAATGCATATGACTTACTCTCCGCCTCCAAGTTCTAATGATGTTACATCTCCATTGATAAAGTAAGTGTTTTCTCCGCTCCACTTAAAAACCTAAGTGAAGACAACATAAAACTTAAGTGCGCAGAATAAAGATACAATCACACTAGAATATGTTTGCAAATGTCATGTGAGTGGTATTATTAACTAGTTAGAAAGAGACGGTGATGGAAATGGGCTGTTCATTCTCTGCCATTTATCTTTCCAAGCTACACTGGCAGTAGACAAGTACAGAATTGAACTGCATTATATCATTATGACAGTGTTCAGGGAACAAAAAAGAAAAATGCAGAACAATAGGGAAGAATGTCTAATGTGATTTTAGGGGAAACCGTCATCAAGGAAATGTTTATTGTAAATGGTTCTTGCTTAAAATTGCTTGGGACAATTTCTAACTTCAGTTCACCAAAGCAGTACAAAGTAGAGACATTGTCCCAAGTGTTTTTAAAACAAAAATTATTAAACATTTCCTATAATGCAGATATCATGTTTTATTCTTGGATTTTCTACAGCTGCTGTCAGTCCATTGTGTATACTGGGCTTATTTATACCTTTTCAATAGTAAAAAGATGAGTAATACCTGTTTTGTGAAAAGAAGGAGGGAGACAAAGGGGATCAGTAAGCCACTATTTCAGTGGTACATGACAGAAATAATAATAATAATAATAATAATAATAATAATAATAATAATAATAATAAACTTTATTTGTATACAGCCCTAGCTCCCCAAGGACTCGGGGCGGTTTCAAGCACGTAAGGCAAAACATTCAACTGCTGGAAAGAAACCATGCAGACAATTACATCAAACTAAACACATTTGATAATATAACAAACCTAATTAAACTTAACAGACAAAGTAACAACGACTGAATATCCTAAAATACAAAAAATTCTGCTAAAACACATTAAAGATAAAAATATTAAAAACTCGTTTCATTGGAGCTCCATCAGTAGAGGTTCAATAAAACCAATGGCCAGAGTTACTAAATGGATGTGGGCCAATTATAAAAGGCCTGGGCACGAAATAATGCAAACAGCAAATCATTGGGCTGGGGAAATGGATGAAGTGCAGGACAGAGTACTATCTGATTACCTAGGAACTGGGCCAAGGGACTAATCATTCTTGAAAACTTGCTGGAACATCCAGGTTTTCAAGTCCGTATGAAAGGAGTACAGTGTGGGGGCTTGCCTGATTTCCCTGGGAAGGGAGTTCCAAAGTCAGGGGCCCACCACTGAGAAGGCTCTCTCTCTTCGTGCCACCAATCACACTTGTGACGGTGGTGACTGCAAGAGGAGGGCCTCACCGACAGATCATCGAGCCTGCGCCAGTTCATAGGGGGAGATGCAATCCCAAAGATAGGCAGGGCCTGAACTGTTTAGGGCTTTGTAGGTCATAACCTGCACCTTGAATTGGGACAAGAAACTTAATGGCAGTCAGCGGAGCTGCTTTAATGGGTGTGTCATACGTTCCCTATACTTAACTCCTGTTAGAAGCCTGGCAGCCGACCGATATGGCAAGAGAGGACAGGCATGTGATAGTGGCAGAAAAATCCCAAATGTAGTACTGGTTGTTCATAAACTGGAACAGAGGACAGTTTAGGAACAACCAGTACAGAAAACAGATTACTAATGGATGCTGGATATCCTCTGTTCTAAATAGCCCAGATAAGACATGGTAACATGCCTATAAAAATGTTGCTGCTTAACAGCATGTCAGTGAAAAGGAAAACAATCGCTTTTCAGGACTGGATCCTGATTGAGTATATCAATCTGGTCTGTATCACAGGATCTTTGAAGATCCTGAGGATATGCATAGGGTGTTTGGAGAAATTATAGCTGTTACATGTATGTGAATTTGCCTTTCTTATCTTGTCAAATTTATTTATTTACTTACTTACTTTATTGATGCTTCGCCTTTCTCCCCATAGGGACTCAAGGCTAATCAAAGATGCCAAGAGGAGACTGGAAGAAGGGAAACTGGGATTATGCAATGCCTCTCTCCTATAAGGCATAGTCCCAGCCTGTTAAAGGAGGAACCAGTAGTTGTAAGGACCTTATTAAGATAGCCCTTCCTAGGTACTACTCTATGGGATAATTGCCTGCCTGGACTGTCGGGTGTCCTCCCAGTTGCAGACATTTCTGAATGGGAGTGATCATTGGGATAGAGACAGCCGTGCTTGAAACTAAGGGGTGTCCTCTTGGTTATGCTGGATCAATTAATGTCATTTGATACCATTGGCCCTGGTATCCTTCTGGGCCATCTCACTGGGATGGGGCTTTGGCCCACTGTTCTACAACAATTCCTTTCCTTTCTGGAGCAGTGAACCCAGAAGGTGGTGCTGGAGGATTCCTATTCAACTCTTTAGCCGTTCACCTGTGGACGAAGCCAACGTGAGAGGTTTTGGACAACCATCTGCTAATGACACCTAGCTCACTCTCGCCTGTCCATCTCAATCCAAGGAAACTGTCTCAGTTCTAAACTAATGCTTGTCAGCAGCGATGAACTGGATGAGGCAGAACAACTGGAAGCTTAATCCAGGCAAGACAGAGGGGGTTCTGATCAATTAAAGGCAGATCGGGGAGTAAGGGTTCAACCTATGCTGGATGGCATCACACTGTCTCTGCATGCCCAGACTTGAAGCTTGGGTATACTCCTGGATTCAGTTCTGATTCTGGATACTCGGGTTTCTGGAGTAGCCAAGAATGCACTTGCACCGTTAAAAGCTTGTGCGCCAGTTCACCCACTCCTTGGGATGACTGGCTTGGCCACAGTGAAATATGACTTACTGACTGGGTTCCTATAAAGCATTCTTATGTGTGGCTGCCTTTGAAGAGTGTTTGGAAACTTCTGCAGTCAAATTGCTAAAGGTGCCTGGAGACAGATAACTAATGGATGCTGGTTACAGGGAACACATAACTCCCTTATTGTAAGAGCTCCACTTGTCAGTCTGTTTTGAAACACAATGCAAAGAGCCAGTTTTGACTTATAAATCCCTGTTTCATAGGCTATGTCTTCCATTATGAGCCTGAGCTTTAAGATCTGCTGAGGAGGCCTTCTATCGTCCCACCACCTTCATAGAAATGGTTGGTGGGAACAAAGAAGGCTTTCTCTGAAGCTGGTTCCAAGTACTTGAGCTCCATCCCTGGAGAAGGCAAGGTGGCTCCTTCTTTGTTGTGGTCCTTCTGGTGCCTGAGAGCTGATGATTAAGGAAGTGTCTTTATGGCATTGAACCATTTTTAAGCTTTGCTTTAAAATAAGATTTTAAATGGTTTTAATTCTCTTGTTATTCTGTCCTGTCTTAACTTTGATTTTGTATGTTTTTAACTATGTTTATGGATTTTTGTTGTTGTTGTTTTTCTGTAAACTGCTTTGAGTCCCAATATGGGAGAAAAGCAGAATACAGATAAAGGATAGATGGATCAGTTCATATGCAAATTGTTGTTGTTTTAAATGTGAGGCCTAAATTCAATTTTTAACCTCAACAAAAGTAGACCCATAAAATGAATGGGAACTTATATAAATTCTATTTAGCTAATAGCCCTCCTTTAGTTGAGACCGATATATATATATATATAGTTCTAAACCATAGCTGCAATCTCAGTTGTGGATTGTATTTAAACAATAAATAGATTGTTTAAGTAAGAGTTAAGACTATCCCCAGAGCAACATACCTTGAAAAGAGGATTGAATGTATACAGGAGAGTTTCTCCAGTGCCATAATAGTGATCACTCAATCTGAAAGGATGTGTTCCATAAGCCCCAAATATCTGTAATAAAAAGAAAATAGCTGTTAACAATATTTCCACATTTAAAGTTAGATTATCCTAACATTGAACACATAGGAATTATCATGGCCAGTGAACAAAACAGGAGCACCTCAAAACTACTGATATGCCATCCATTTTTGATTATTTATTTTGCCCATCTAAATGTCATTTATTTCTTCCAATCCTTAAAATAATTCCCAGTCAATATTGCCTTTGGAACTCACTGTTGTTGTTGTTGTTGGGTTTTTTTTTTTGTCTTATAAAGAGGCTAGTGAGCTCCACGTTGCATAAAGAGAGATTTGAATGTTCAAAGAGCCCTAAGGGGAGCTATTATCAACAAAGAAAACTACATTATGCAACTTAAGTTTTTTCTGAACCTATTCCCAGAAAGCTCAGGGACTATAAGGAAATAATTGTAAATAATTGAACATGATAGTCTGCCAATCTTTTCATACAATCTGTACATGACATGCCGACCATATGACATAGGAGTGAGACCCACACTCCTATGTTATCGATGAAGTAACCTGTTGTTTTCAAAGGCCCACACATAGATTTTTGTGCTTTTCTGACCGACCTAGCAATTGCTATTACAGGATAAGTATCCCTTATCTCTTTTGGGAAAAGTATCCATTATCTCTTTTGGGAAAGAGATATTTTCAAATGCTTGTATTTGGATACTATATATATACACAATGAACTAACTTGGAGATGGGAATTGAAGCTAAACACATAATTCATTTATGTTTCATATACACTTTAAATGCATAGCCCTAAGGTAGTTTTTTACATAATATTTGTAATCATCTGGTGTGTGTGTGTGGGGGGGGGGGGGAGGGATAAAACAGCGTTGGTGTATTTGTATACTATCTCAACCACTCATGTAAACTATTTAAGATTCTGGAGCATTTCACATCTGGGAAATCTTGAAAAGACATACTCAATCTGTACCGCAATACTGATTTTGTTTTAGAGAATATAGCTACCCCATGCTAATATTCTTTTTTCCCCTTATATCTGTATACACCACAGGATGGAACATCATCAGAGTCATCAATAAAGTCCCTCTTGTGCTATGAAAACATAAAAGGGAACCTAAAGAATCATAAAGACTTCTTTCACTGAAATATGTTATTTTTTTTTATTGGAAAGAGCCTAATCTGGCTGTCTCCTGAAAACAGGAAAGCATTATCATCTCATCGGTTATAAGCCTCATCCACACACACAACCACAATTTGTGGCTGACCTGATTATCCATATCCTTGACAACAAGAAGCACTGGACTGTCGAGAGATGCTGACTTTCGATACAGAGTTTTCAAGCTGGTCCCATGTTCTTGTGTGCTGTAGACAAGTCTCCAGGGATATCCTTGAACTCTTGCTGGTAGGCACCGGGCAAGCTAGTAGGTAAATGAAATCAGTGAAGTTTAAAATATAATACTGGTATCAGATGTGTCCCTTCTCTCCTGTAGAAATCTGAACAGTCCTGCCTTTAATCAATATTATATTCTTGTACAATAAAGGAACAGTCTTATGTTCAGAATATGTACCATCTGATTTATTTAAGTGTGTGATCCTGTGAAAGCAAACATTAAAATTGGGTTCACTAGTTCCTCCTTACCTTCAAATGCCATTGATTCCATCTGGGTTAGCTGAGAGACTCTCCTGACATTTCCTAAACTATTTCCACTAAAGGTAAAAGAGTGAAGCAAAGGAACTCCTGGTCACTGCAGTAAAGTGGTTTTTGAGGAGCAATACTCGGTCCAAGATCACCCCAGGCTATAGGCCTGATATTTCAGAGGGAGAACAACCCCTTCCAGAACAGGTTGCAATTCAAAACATTGGTTTAAGTATTGTTGAAGGCCTTCATGACCAGAATCACTGGGTTGTTGTAGGATTTTCAGGCTATATGGCCATGTGCTAGAAGCATTCTCTCCTGATGTTTCTCCTGCATCTATGGCAGGCATCCTCAGAGGTTGTGAGGTCAGACTTCACAACCTCTGAGGATGCCTGCCATAGATGCAGGTAAAACATCACAAGATAATGCTTCTAGAACATGGCCATTCAGCCCGAAAAACCTACAACCCATTGGTTTAAATAGCTGCTTTTCTTCTCTTCACAACTTTGCCATCTGCTTGCATTTTTAAAAAGACTGCTTTGGAACGCTTCATGGTATGAATCAATGTCTGCATAAATACCTGCTGGTCTGTGTCATTAAAAATATGGCAAAGGATGGTGTGGTTGTGACATTCTGTGAAGGTATCCCGATTTCCTATCTACCTTGACTTTGGTAGATGGAAAGGTGCATAGCAAAGTAAATGGAGCTGAGTTCACCTCCTGAAAACCCTCTCTCTGCTGTATCAGTCCCACTGATGGCAAATTGTCAAAATATGATTATGTAATTACACATTTAGATGAAATGTGAGAAGCTGTTCCTGAGCATCAAGATGTCTGAAATTCATATACTATGCTGCTGAAGGGGTTTGGAGGAGGAAACATGAGAAACACTGGCAAATACATGACTTTTAACAAAAATAAAATAAAACTATGGATACTATACTACAAAACCTGAGTGTTCTGTTATCCTTGGAGCTGGATTAAAAAACACCACTGACGAGATCACCTTTCAAACCAACCAACAGTGCTACAGTGTTTGTGAGTCAGAACCTAAGCACTGAAATGAGAAAAATTCAATACGGACAAGTTGCCAACTGTACCTGCTCTACATGCATGTTTTCTAAGAGTGCACTCTGGTTTTTTAAAACAGGCAGTGCATCATCATCTTCGTCAACATCACCATCATCTTCTTCACAATAGCTGCAAACACTCTTTCGGCGCTTAGCCTCTTCCACAGTAATAATCTGCAAAGAAAAAGGACATACTAAGAGGTGGGCGGCAATAAAACATGTTCTGCCAACATGACAGAAGTAAGCCTAAGCACAATGCTCCATGGCCATTTTTAAGCTGGTGGGTGTATTGTGAATGTTGGTGTGTATCAAAGACACCAATGCCGGTCATCAAGGAAACATACACAAAAGACTTAACCCTGCTCCATGAAATCAGGAATCCTTATTTGGGTATCTGATCTTGTGAAGCAATATAAGCCAGGCTATGAATTGCCCCTCTGTTATAAATATTGCCACAAAAAGGTACATTGATCAGAGGAAACAAGGCGAATAAAATTTACTATTGAAGCATATAGCAAAGCTAGAAATAATCAGAAAACAAGTCTTGAAACCTTCCAGACAAGACTAATGTTTAATACTCAGAGATCACTTAAATGTCTTAAACATGGTAGAACTTACAACATTGTTAAGAAAGCCAGTGACCCACAGGAATTGCTGTGTTTTAGAATTTTTAATTTTTAAATTTTTATTGACTGACATTGTCCATTGTTTGTATTCTGTCAAATAGTGTATGTTTTGATTATATGTAATTCTATTTTATGAGTGCTTTGTTAGCCACCCCGAGTCCCTTTGTGGAGATGGTGGCAGGGTACAAATAAAATTATTATTATTTTACTGACACAAAAACACAGTATATACACTGGATTTTGTATCACAAAATCACAAGTCGAACACTTCCCAAGCATTTAGGACTATGTGATATATTTTTGAATGATGCACGCAGATCCAAGTAAGGGCCTTTTGCAGCTGACAGATCATGATTTTGTCAATGTTTATTGTTTCCAAATGCTGGATGAGATCTTTTGGCACGGCATTCAGTTGTGGTTGTATTATTATTATTATTATTATTATTATTATTATTATTATTATTATTATTATTAAATGCTTAACAAAGAGATGACATTATGACTGCTTCAGATTCTTATTTGTATGAAGAATGGCAGCACTATAAATTCAAAGAATTGTAATCATTTTTGCATATAGCTACACTAGACAAACAAACATCTATATAAATGATAATCATGGCTTCTAACCTGTATTATAGAGAGAGAATGAAAGTTGGAGTAGAAACTTTATCAAAATTATATTGATTTCATGAGTGCATCAAGCACATGCTTAGAATTTCTCACTGAAATCATGAGACTTAAAACTATTAGCCATGGGTGGACTTGCCGCAGGGTTCCGTCCTAGGCCCGGTCCTGTTAAACATCTTTATTAATGACTTGGATGAAGGGTTAGAAGGCATGATCATCAAGTTTGCAGACGACACCAAATTGGGAGGGATAGCCAATAGTCCAGAGAACAGGAGCAGGATTCAAAACGATCTTGACAGATTAGAGAGATGGGCCAAAACTAACAAAATGAAGTTCAACAGTGACAAATGCAAGATACTCCACTTTGGCAGAAAAAATGAAATGCAAAGATACAGAATGGGGGACAATGCCTGGCTCGAGAGCAGTACGTGTGAAAAAGATCTTGGAGTCCTCATGGACAGCAAGTTAAACATGAGCCAACAATGTGATGTGGCGGCAAAAAAAGCCAATGGGATTTTGGCTGCATCAATAGGAGCATAGTGTCTAGATCGAGGGAAGTTATGCTACCCCTCTATTCTGCTTTGGTTAGACCACATCTGGAATATTGTGTCCAATTCTGGGCACCACAATTGAAGAGAGATACTGACAAGCTGGAATGTGTCCAGAGGGGAGCGACTAAAATGATCAAGGGTCTGGAGAACAAGCCCTATGAGGAGCGGCTTAAGAGCTGGGCATGTTTAGCCTGAAGAAGAGAAGGCTGAGAGGAGATATGATAGCCATGTATAAATATGTGAGAGGAAGCCACAGGGAGGAGGGAGCAAGCTTGTTTTCTGCTTCCTTGGAGACTAGGACGCGGAACAATGGCTTCAAACTACAAGAGAGGAGATTCCATCTGAACATTAGGAAGAACTTCCTGACTGTGACAGCCGTTCAGCAGTGGAACTCTCTGCCCCGGAGTGTGGTGGAGGCTCCTTCTTTGGAAGCTTTTAAGCAGAGGCTGGATGGCCATCTGTCAGGGGTGATTTGAATGCAATATTCCTGCTTCTTGGCAGAATGGGGTTGGACTGGATGGCCCATGAGGTCTCTTCCAACTCTTTGTTTCTATGATTTTCCATCCTTGATTTGAATGCAATATTCCTGCTTCTTGGCAGGGGGTTGGACTGGATGGCCCATGAGGTCTCTTCCAACTCTTTGATTCTATGATTCTATGACTTGCATTATTTATTTTTTAAAATATGGTTTTACAAATAAAAATGAAAAAATGCAAGAAAGACCCTCGATCAATCAACCATATATCTATATATCTGGATTCTCTGAAGGACACTGCAATGAAAGTAAAGGGGTAGGATACAGGGGATCTCTTTTTAAAAAAGTGATATCTCTCCCTCATGTAAACATACGCAAATGTTATCTGTCAGTTGTCAATGTTTAACTGAGGATTTATTAGCATTCTGACTTAAATATGAAATGGTTATAATGTGAATTTGTTGGTCTGTGTTCAGTTGTCTGATTGTCTTTGTTGTTTGTGTAAAGGTACATTGGGTTTTATCTTTTGTTTTATGTTATTTTGTATTTTTACACAGCATTGAATGTTTGCCTCTCTGTATGTTGTAAGCTACCCTGAGTCACCGCTGGGGAGATAGGACGGGATTGAAACAAAGTCTCATTCATTCATAAATCTACACTTCTTATTTGAGCCTATTTTGCCAAATCCATTCACACTAGAAGAATAATATGCATGAAGCTTCATTAATAGTCAAACTGTAGAAATATGCAAGAAGACCCTGTTGGCAAGTGTTTTTGGTAAAATTATGGGCACATTTTATTCCTTGCCACATTTGTATTTCATTTACATTCCAACCACAGGTCACTCACAGAATTAAATTAGTAGGTAATGCAAATTTATTGCATATGAAAATAAATGGAATACTTTATAGCAGAAGAGATATCTGTTACACGCAAACACACAAACAAGATTCTTAACTTTTCAAGAGAAAGGAAAGGGGACATAGAATAAAATATTTTAACTATACCATATCTTTAAGATATTTCACTTCGGAAATCTGGGCATAGAATCATAGAATTACTGAGTTGTATGAGACCTTGTGGGCCATCCATTCCAACCCCCTGCCAAGAAGTGGGAAAATCACATTCAAAGCACCCCGACAGATGGACATCCAGTCTGTTTAAAAGTTTCCAAAGAGGATGTGTTTGTACCAGATGTAGCACATTTTATTTATTTATTTATTTATTAGATTTATATCTTCCTTTTCCAGTTTCAAAGATGAATTATCTTACAAAAATGATAAAATCAGCAGCAGAATTCCAAAACACAATTGCCAAAACAACAAGATAAAATAACAAAGCAAAGCAATGAAGAAAAGAGCATGGTGGCAACATACTTCCCAACGTGGAAAGAAACGTGCTTTTTCTGGACAATTCCCATCATCCCGCACAAGAAGCTAGCTTGGCTAAGGATGCTAGGAGTCATGTTAAGACCATTGGAGGACTGCAGTTACCCACTTTGATGTAGAGGGTGTTTTAACATGTCATTTACAGTCTAAATAAAGCATACATAAAGTTTCACATACAGCAAATTCTAGCCCTCCCAACTGAACTTGAAGATGCAATTTCCACAGCAAATGAAGGAGAGAATTAAAACTAAGTCCAAAGAAAGAAAAGAACACAAATAGCTTTTTCAATTATTTTAAACTATACTCCTATGCCACAGAATTACATAGGACTTGTCCCATTAGAGCAAACAGGGCTTGTGTCAGAACTGATATCACACATAATAATCACACTAAACTGATTTATTAGGATTTTTAAGGAACAGGGTGGAAAGGTACAACTTCAGAAAGAATAAACTAGAATAAGAGAAATTTGATCGCACATGAGACTGTAAATAACATTGCCTCTGCTTTGTCCTGAAAAATTAGATGCATATTATCTTATTTATAGATTATATTTACAATATGATCTTCACTGATGGACAAATTTGTCAACGTTATCTATTCCAGTAAAGCCCACATTTTAAAACCTGTGTTAGATTTGGCATATCCTTCATGCATCTTGAATCAATCTAACCTGTTCCAAATCAGCATCTGACGAATAAAAGAACTGAAAAGGAGTCAGTACCTGCACAAAAGGTTCCTGGTCAGGTCTGGTGCTGTATATTATTTGGAAATTCAGGGGCATCTGCTTTACTCTCATTGTTAGGGTTTTGCTTTCCCCAGCTCCACGTTTTCTCTTGCCTTGGCTGCCTGTTCAGGCTCCTCTCCACCAATGAAGCTTCTGCACTCTCTCTGCTCTCTCACACACCAGGAAAGTGTGGCTGGCTTCTACACTTCCTTGTAATGTTCACTTTCATTTTCTCCCGTATATGAAACAGAGGACCCTGACAACCAGCTCAACACAAAGGATGAACTGCCTTGGAAACTTGGATACAAAAAGGCTCCCCACAGTGAATAATCTGTACATTAGTAGTCCTTGTGCCCCAAAGCACTTGTTTTTGGTGAATATCTGGGATAAAGAAAGTAAAGTGTCCCTATTTCATATGCAGAACATGCATCTCAGGGAGTCTGCCTCTCATCCCTTAGGACTTGCCTAAACACTTTCTCTCCCTGTAACCAAAAGCACTTGTTTAAAGTTAATTTTGGGGTGATACAGAAATTAAAGAGTCCCCATGTCATATGGTGAATATATACACAAAGGAGAGGAGACTGGCTAACCTTTGTTCCAGAAGATTGAGAGGCATCCCAGGGATTCTACCTTTCATCCTTTAGGACTGGCCTATATGCTCACTTTCTCTCCACAACTGGATAGATCAAAAGCTCCTCATTAGCATTTCTAAAGGGAGATCACATCCACAATAGCTGCAACATGCTTCCCTTATCTCAGTAATCTTACTATGAACACCTT